AATAATCTGTGCATTTTTTTTTTATTCCAGGATAGCAAATGAAGTCGACAGATTTTTAAAAGCTATGTTTTTATAAACTCTGAAAATCTGAACATACATAGCTCAGCAGAGTAAAACCATTAATCTCTCGATTTACTGCCGAGAAATGCTATTTGCATCTCTTTAAAGTATTTTCCAAAGAAATAATCTACTCTATAATCTTTATGAAAAAAATAGTGAAAGAAATGGTACAGTTTAGAAAAGCAAATGTTAAAAAACATATTCAGATTTATTAGAAATATAAGGAAGGTGTTTATAGATTTCTATTAGTTATTTGCTAATCGTTAGCTACTAATTTCAATGAAATTAACTAACAGCAGAAATAATGATTTGTGATGCTTATAAAGGTGTGAAATTGGAATTATAAAGATAACAGATTTTAAATAAAGCTAGTTTAAAAGGCTATGCACTGAAATGCAAAGAATCTTAAAAAGGTCACTACATATGGCTTGAAATGTATAAATCATAAACAATTCAATGAATTCTGTCTGCAAATGCAGCCGTTATACAACAGAATTAAGTATAAAGACCTAATGTATTGTGTATTTACATTAATTTGTCATTTGTACAGACCTCACCTCAGAGTAAAAGTATGGTATATTTAAATTCACCCTTGTATATTCACTTACATGCTCTTAGGAAGCTTAAAATCAGAAAGGTCTTCTTGTAAACTTAAGTTATATTTTAATGTACAATATGATAGTTGCTGTCTCCAAAATAATTGAGTGCAAATTCTCTCTGATTTCCCATTTCTTTGAAACAGCTGCTCTACAATGCAGAAATGACATCAGCCTGCTACAGGATGAGGATGGTCACCTCACAAACAGAAACACAGACAAGACAGAGATATTTAATGCATTCTTTGTCTCTGCCTTCAACAACAGCAACAGGCTAAGGGTGTCCCAGTGCCTTGAGCTGGAAGACCATGGTTGTGAGCATGATAAATTCCCAGTCAACCCTGAGTTTGTGTGGGATTTACTGCTCCACCTGGATCTCTCCAAGTCTATGGGGCCTGATGGGATTCATCAGAGAATAATCAACTGCCTCAAGTCATTGTAAAACCTCTTTTGATGATTTTTGAGTGGTCTTGGGAATCCAAGAGGTCCCGGTTGACTGGAAGCTAGCGAATGTCGCGGTTTTCAAGAAGGGCACAGAGGACCCCAGAAACTACAGACCTGTCAGTCTCACTTCAGTGACTGGTAAAATTATGAAGATTATTCTGGGAAATATTGAAAAGCTCTCAAAGGACAACAGTCATCAGTAAGAGCCATCATAGCTTCATGAGAGGAAAGTCCATCCTGCCAAACTTGATTTCCTTAGGTTATAGTGAATGGGGCGATACCAGACTGGCAACTTGTCACTGCAGCACTCCATATGAGGCCCACTTCTTCTCAGTGCCTTCATAAACCACTTGGACACAGGATGTGAAGATATACTATTGAGGTTTACCAATGATACTAAACTGGGAAGAGCTGCTGACTCCCTTAAAGGCAGAGGTCCTGCAGAGGGTCCTAAACGAGAGGGCTGGGCAATTGCCAACTATATCAAGCTTAACAAGGGCAAGTGTCAGATTCTGCACCTGGGATGGGGCAACCCTGGATGTACAGACAGACTGGGGAATGAGAGGCTGGAGAGCAGTGCCACAGAAAGGGACCTGGGGGTCTGGTCAGTGTCAGGATGAACATGAACCAGCAGTGCCCTGGCAGCCAGGAGGGCCAACCCTGTCCTGGGGGGCATCAGGGACAGCATCACCAGCCAGGCAAGGAGGGGATTGTCCTGCTCTGCTCTGAGCTGGGGCAGCCTCACCTCGAGTGCTGGGGGAAGTTTTGGGTGCCACCATATAAAAAAGATATAAAGCTATTAAAGCTATCAGAAGGAGTTCAAAGGAAGACTACAAAGATGGCGAAATGCCTAGAGGAGAAGGTGTGCAAGGAGTGGCTTGCTCAGCCTGGAGGAGACTGAGCAGAGACCTCATTGCAGTCTCCAGCTTCCTCACATGGAGAAGGGAAGGGGCAAGCAGCGATCTCTTCTCTCTGGTGATCAGTGACAGAATGCCAGGAAATGGCCTGAAGTTGGGTCAGGGGAGGTTTAGGTTGGATATTAGGAAAAGGTTCTTCACCCAGAGGGTGGCTGGGTTCTGGCACAGGCTCCCCAGGAAAGTGGTCACAGCTCCAAGCCTGAGAGAGTTCCAGAAGGGTTTGCACAACGCTCTCAGGCACGTAGCATGGTTCTTGGAGCTGACCCATGCAGGGCCAGGAGTCAGACTTCAGTGATCCTTGCGGGCCCCTTCCAACTCAGAACACTCTGAATCTATGATTCTGTATAAATACACTGTGAAGTATTTGAAAGTTAAGAGATAGAAATACTGTAGAGTGCTCACAGGGTTCTTTAAAAAGCATTAGGTTACAAAATACTGTTCTGGCACACAATTAACTGTACAAGGGAGAAGCACTGTCCTGACTCTGAATAACCTGCTTCAGTCCCGGTTCTCTCACACTTACAAATTACAGATGGAAACTGACTTTCCAATAATCATGTAGAAGTTTTGAACACTAGTGTGCTCCAATTGTCACAGGTCTCTGGCCAGATGAACTGGTTTTGGCTGGGATACAGTTAATTTTCTTAGTAGTAGCTGGTATAGTGCTGTGGTTTTTTGATTTAGTATGAGAATCACAGAATATTCTGAGTTGGAAGGGACCCACAAGGACCATCAAACCAGCTGTTAAGTGAATGGCCCATACAGGGATCAAACCCGTAACCCTGGCATTATTAGCACCATGCTCTGACCAGCCAAACTACTCTGGTCTCAGTAAAGCTGATAGAATATACTGATAATACACAGATGTTGCTGTTATGCATTCCTCAAATCAAGGGCTTTTCAGTGTCCCATGCTCTGCTAGGGAGAAGCTGCACAAAAAGCTGGAAGACAGAACAGCCATGACAGCCTGACTGAACTGAAAAAGGGATATTCTACACCACAGAACATCATGCTCAGTATATAAACTGGGGGAGTTACCCAGAATGGGGCCAATCAGTGGAGGGGGGAACAGTCAGTGACTAATGCTTCTCTTTTACAGAGAAACCCTGTTCTCAGGGCAGCAATAATGTTATCTTGCAAATCTGTATGTTGTACAAAAGCAGAGAACTGGAGAGAACTGAAAGAGAGACTGAAAATTCAAGTGGAAGAACAAAATCTTTCTTAGACTGGTAGCAGTAATTTTTCCACAGTGCAACACCATACAGTGACAACACAGTATGCCACTGAAAGTTAATTAATCTCTGTATTACATACTACAATGTGTGTATGTATGTATGTGTGTATTATGTAACACATGAAGCCCTAAATCACCAATGTAGCACTGTAGATCTGTAGTTCAGCAGATCACAGTGTCACAGCATGACGGGAACACTTCAGAGCAATCAGACTTCTCTCCATTTTGCACAGAAGAACCTCGGGAGTTATTACATGGGCTTTAGAACAAACCAATCCTGTATCCACTTGGATTTCTGAACAATGCCTTATATTACTCCTTTTTGTATTACAGCTACAAATGTCTTTCCTGCAATAATTTTAGTTCTCTTTAGTCCCAGAATCATGATTCACCACAGTCTAAGAGCATTACATTAGATATAAAAAGAGAGAAGAGAAAGAACTCAAAAAATGGGAGACGAGATACAAAGGGTTCAGTAAGCAGAACACCAAGTAAGTCTTCTTTCTTTGTGAGTAACAGCATTACAACAGTAAGTACAACCTACCCACACAGCTGTAAGATTCTATAAGCTCTTATGAATAAGAAGGAAGGGTACTTTCCCTTCCTTCAATGACAAAAAGAAAGAAGTTTCTCAAAATTTAATTTTGGATTACTCACACTCCTAATAGTCTGAGCTAAATCGATCAGTTTGGCTTGAGTCATTCTTACAAGTTCTGAGTCACAGACTGGGAAAGGGAAGCCATTAAGTAAATCAAAGCTGTGGCCCAAAATTAAACATTTAAGACCGGGTCAGGAAAATACTTGCTTAATCCTATCAGTGTACGTTTAGTAAGGTATCTGCTAGTATAATCATAAAATGTCTAGAAAGCTTTGTGCAGAAAGTAAAGTTGTGCTGCATGAGAGATGAGGTTTATCTAACTCTAACGTGAGAGGTTTTAATAATTCCTGATATTTAGAAATACATTGGAGGATGAACCACTTATGTCTGAAGGGATAAGGGAACACTACTAATCCCGTAATCTGGACCTAAATGCCCTTTGATATTTTTATGTTCTTTTTATAGGTGGTATGATGCATCACACATGAAAAGCCTTGTTTCTGAAGAATTAGGAGAGCAAAATTTAAGGAAAAGTGCACAGTGATTAATAAAAAAGAATTCCTTTTTTTTTTTCCTTTGAATTTCTTTTAAAGGAAGGAAAGATGCTAAATACTTCATCAGTACAGAAAGCAAGAGGTTTTGCTTGTCTTCTCAAAATTCTATCCACCACAAAAATTTAAGAAAACATGCATTGACTAGCAAGACTAGGAAGTCAAAAAAACCTGAAATAACAGTCTTGGGATGGTCACAAAATGTGCAGTCACTCAGCAGGTTGCCTGAAGATAAGAAAATTATTCCTGCAGATAAGGAAATTACTAATTATTTTACAGCTATATATATAAATCTACCCTAGCAAGTGTCCTTACTGCTACAGTGAAGAAGAGCTGTTAAGGCTAAGTTTAAGTGCAAACTGAATTTTTCCTTAAGCCTGTTCAGCTCTTCAGTTCAGTACCGTGTTTCCCAGCTTTCTATTTTAGCAAAACAGTATTTACCACAACTAATAGAACACTAAAAGGAGAAAATGGAATATATAACAAAAAAAGAACATCAATCTAATTTAAATCCCTCAATTTAAAATGTCCACAATGTAGGTTATCTGAAACATTATTATGAATATAAGCCTCAAGCACATCAACTCCACCATCATTTACCGTGTTTCTGATTGGAATTTTCTTCGGTTCTGTTGGCACATCCTGAGGAACAAATTTCACTGGCTCCTTAATTTGCCTCCTTGATCTTTTGGTCCCATCTGGTAAGGTTTCCATGGCAATATCAGCCTCCATATCACTGCTACCTGCCTGGTCACACTCCGAGCATTGCCTGCAAAGCGGAAGATTTTAAGACTGCAGTCACAAGAGCAGAAAAAGAAACATATTGAAGTGTTTGTGTTTAAGATAAATACAAAAGTCAAGAAATCAAATGGACATCTACAATGTACATTTTTAAGCAACCAAGCAAAACTCAAGTAAGATATTCTTATTTTCCTGACAGTACTTAACTTCGAAAACCAAGATTCTGAAAGTAGGAATTAATCTTCAAGAAAAATGCTCCCTATTTCATAACTTTCATTCTACCACATCTTCATTTTTAAAGCTGCCCACTGATCTCTAATCTATTAATTACTGTAGCCGCTGCTGCAGTTTAATTATAGAATTATACAGTGGTTTGGATTGGAAGATATCTTAAAAGATCATCTAGTTCCCACCCCCTGCCATGGGCAGGAGCACTCTCCACCAGACCAGACTGTTAATCTTTACAATGACATGCTGTTGAATTCATTCCAATGAGAACATGCTTTAGTGGCAGGGATTTGGAGGACATGTTTATTATGAAAATAAAATGTAACATGTATTTCCTAAGGGAGTGGGTTTTAGATCTGAATAGTTGGGAGAAAATTACAAACACAAAAGCTAGGGACATATATTAACAAACTTTAAACACTAAACTGAAAAAAAAAAAAGCTTGAGTTTCTGAAAAATGTACAAAATCACCATCAAAACTTCAAAAATTAAGAGATGTTTAAGTAATTCCATTAAACAAGTTCCATAACAGAAGTAACAAGATAAGAATTCATCAGGATTTGTTTTTATTTGCAAAAAATCATCTTATGCAAAGTCATAAATGCAGATATTCACTAAAAGCATGTTAATGAAAACATAAAAATTATGCTCACTGCAAGAGCCAGTTTTAATTACTTCTCACACTACACTTTCAATTCAAAAAACTACAAGTCCATTCAAATAAAGTCCAATTCACCCCTGTCCTCCTATTAAACATTTTTTTAGTAATTCCAACCAACCAACAAAAAATCAACATAATATTCTGCTTAGCAGAATAGTTGGCATAAACAAGGAAAAGCACACTGAAATTATCTAAATGATAGAGCAAATTGGCTTTGGAAGGAGACAAAATAAAAACCCTATGTATTTAACTATTTTGAGTTACATTTTAATACATGTTTATGACAAGAAGGCTTATCCATGCTGTATAAACAAAAGCACAAAGTCAGATACACATTTTGTGTTTGAGTCTATTTGCCCCAATTTACACATTCAACAGAAATAGTTCTACTTCTCTGAACTTCTGTGAGAGCTAACTATCAAGTCCTTCAACTTTTCACCATATTTTCTAACGGATCAGTCTAACCCTAACTCAAGACCTTCCTCCTTTACATATACCTAAATTGTACATAATTGTGGCTACATTATAATGTTACAAAGATTCATCACCTCTTATCTCAAAAGCACTTAAGACAGGGTAAATAGGACACGTGAAAGTACTTGGAATACTTGGTCTAGAAAAGCAGAAGAACAGGGTAGATTGCAGGAAAGATAACAGTTTCTCCCCTCTCTCATCTAAGAATGGGAGTTTTTATGAACAGCCAAAGCACAGATCAGTTTATATACTTTTAACAGTTCTGGGCCAGCATAGAAGAGTATAGTCCTACATTCTTCCCCTTTGTCCTGGTTACAGAGGAAAAGGGGGATGGAGTTTCCAGCACTGTTTAATTCCATACAACACACATTATCACTGGGGGCGTGGGTTCAGCAGGAAGAGCCAAGCACCAGGAACTGAACATTTGCCATCTTGCTTGAACCTCTTCAGAGAGAAGGTGCTGGGATCAGCTGGCTCCAGCCTCCTCTCCACCACTGCTGGTCCCCTCCTCTATTCCAAACCCCCTCCTGAGCTGGTGCAGTGGAAGCAGCCGGACAGAGCCCAAAACCCCGGCCAGAGCTGGTGGTGTGGTGCCAGCATCAGTCACATGGGACAGAGTTGGGGAAACGCCGCCAAACACAGCCCAGCACAGCGGTCTGGGAAAAACAGCAGGAAGCACAGTGCCAGTGATCTGGCTTACAGAGCTTCAGCCTAGCTCTTTGCTCATTTCTTCACACTGGGGGGGCAGGGGAAGCTACAAGGGCTCTCCTCAGCTTAAAGCCTTTGTCTAGCAGCACTGTTTTTGGGAAAGTTTTGTTTGCTCCCAGCTCTCTCTCTCTCTCTTTTGTTATCAATACTGCTATGGTTATTGTGATTTTAGTAATCTCTTCCCATTTCTCCATTATCAGAAGGGGTGAGGGAAAAGGGAATAGCTTACTTGGGAGTTTTGTACTCTGTGCTTGAAATAATAAGCAACACTTCTATTTACAAGCCTCAGTTTGCTACATGCACAGTCTTTGTTAACACCTCTAGGCCTTAAGATACTAGAAGAAAAATATAAGGTACAATAGCTTTCACAATGCTACTTTTTACAGTTACATGTTTACATAAATTTGTGTGAATAAACACATACAAATATGTATTTGCATGCACATAAGTAAATAAAGGCACACAGACCAAACTATTATTTTAAGAGTTTATGGAGAAAGGCACTTCACTGATGAAGGAGAGAGAATCTTTAAGTAACAACATTCCCTCAAAATCCTGCATGTCTGCTTAGCTATAAGTCATTTTTTTATTTTTTTAAGATGCATTGTTCTTAAAGCTGTCCAGCCCAAAGCTTTAAGGTCAATTTCTATTTAGTAAGCATCAGAGAGCACAGCCCTCCATAACACTGCAGCATCAAGTCCTGTCATTAACTTACATACTGGAAAGCACAATGGAAATTATTATGATCTGTTTATGCAGATGTAAGCAATATCTATGAAAATGTTCAAAAATTCTATGAGAAGTTCCTACAAAGCATTTATTTTCCCCATTATTATGGAAAATAATGTGCTATGTATAAATTACAGAAATTGCTTCCATAACTTATGAGCTGCACTAAAAATGACACTTTTATAAGAGAAATAAATAGTTGTAGGGTTTTACAACAATATCTGGAATTGGGAATCCAGTTTCTTCGGTCTACCACCCTGTACATACGATTTAAATAATTCCTGTTACTTCTCTGTTATTACATGGGAAAGATACCATTTTTCTGCTACCTATGTTCAGACAGTTCTACAGAAAATACTCAGGCAGATCACTGAAGTGCTGAAGTCTCACTATTATCCTATTTAAATATATATATGAAGCATTTTAACTTTTATGTTACTGAGGAAGACATGAAACATCTCAACCAAAAGATGAGGTACTGCATGCCAAGTTCCTAAAATTTCTGGTTTTATGAACAAGTTTGCTCTGAAACAGGTTGTGCAAGTGTAAAAGCAATCAAAATTAGAAAAAACCTAGAGCTAGAAAAGAAAAGCAAAATCATACTATGATGGGGGTGGGGGATGTTGTGTGAATCACATAACAAAACTTCACAAATATATCAGAGGTAAAGGGGGAAAGGAGTTATAAACATGAACTTACAAACAACTTCTTGATTTATTGGAATAGACTCTACTATCACAGTCAACCATTTCTGACCATCCCTATTACAAAACAGACAAACTTCAAACAAAGCAGTTTGGCTGTTAGCTCCCATAGTGGCACAGAAAAGCTATTACAGACTATTACACTCCCCTGACTTGGAAACAAATCTCTTTTCAGCTCTTCTTATTGTTTATTTCAACACAGTTCTTGAATTTAAAGTACTCTTCCCATTCTGCTGTTTAATCCCAATACAGTCATAGAAAACAGCCATATGACTTCTTTTTGGCTACGCCACAGTCATGCTCACTTAATTTCAGCTCTTCAAGGACAAGCAGTGAACACAGAACCTGTCACAGCAGGTCACCTTTAGAGCTACTGCAACAATTTCAACTACCTCTAAATTAGCAAGCATTGCTATGCAGCATAAACAAAATAACAAGAGAAATGGTGCCAAGGAGTCAACTTTCAGTACACAGGTTTTGTTTTGCTTGTTTTGCTAGTCTAGACTTGCCTAATCTAGACCCACAGAGAAAATCAGTAGCAGGCTGTAATATGCCTACTTGAAAAACGTGTCTACTGCTAAAATTACTGGAAGTTTTTGTTCCATCAAGAAATCTCAGTGCTGATTTGAAATCTTTTAATCATAAAGTCTCTGATTAAGCACTAACAACCTACAGAAAAAAAAAGAAATTGTGTGATTTTGTTGTGTTTTCAATGTTACTTGATACAAGAATCAGAGAGAAACTTCCCATCTCACAACTTGTCAACTCACTAGCAGTGAGGTGGAAAAGAGCATATTCAAATTACTTAGCAAATGCCGCTACAGTGCTTCCAGAAAACAGTTCTGTCCAGTTTAAAAAGGAAAACTGCACAGTTACTTACAGTGAGGCTTGTTTTCAATAAGGAAGACACAGGTCTCACACACATGCTCTCTGACAAATCACCTCTCACAACGTTTACAAAGAATTAAGCCACTTTGAACTCAAGAAACATGGACCAAGCTTCAAGACGACACCCATGCTCTGTAAATTACACATGTAAATCCTGTACTGGGAGTGGAAAAAACCCAGGGCTGCTTTTATTCTGGAGATAAAAGACAGTATATACAAACCAAATACAGTTGTCAAAAAGCTTCTAAGAGCACCTTATAGAGTGTAAAGTTACAGAGTATAACAAAAAAAGGAAATTTGCCATTTGCAACCACCCAAACCCTTCAATTAGGGCAAGTGACAAATACATTAAAATGTATATGTCATATTCCACTCAGGTTTATATAAGTTAATAAATTCATATCATTATCCAGTGACTCGGGATGAAAAAATATTTGAAGTGCTGGATCAGTACTGGATGAATGAGGTCAGGAATATGAATGAATTTCAAGATACTGCTTTAGTATGGGACTACTGGAACTCTACAGCTCATTCTGTCCTGTGACCAATATTCCCCATAGCAGTCACCACTAAAATAACTTGGCCTTCTAGAACAAAAATAAAAACAACCAAGCTTACTACAACCATTAGTCCTTGTTTTGTCCATCTCAGCCCACAGTATTTCATATGCTACCAGCAGTTATCACTGTTTTTCAGCAATGTCATTCCAATAGAAGAAGCTAATCCTTGTTGGTAGCTTCCAAGCATTTTCTTAATGAAAATGTCAATATTTTATAATTAGATTTTGATTCATTACACTGCCTGCTAACACTTGTGCACCTTAGTACCAGTTAAGATCATTCTCTACAAGGAAAATACGTCCAGAATGGCCAGAAGCATAAAAGCACAGAAGTTGTCAGCAAGAATGATAAGACTTAGTATTATATTAACATGTTAATCAAAATAATATGCAATGGTTTAATCAATTGTATTTCTTTAATGAAAATGGCTGATTTTTAAGTGTAGATAAACCACAGCATTTCATTGTATGGTTTAAACTTCTGATCTAGGAGTTGGACTTGATTCTTCAAACTCAGGATATTCTATGATTCTACTTTGAAAGCACAGCATCAAAACAGGCATAAATTAATGCTGTAATGTAATGTTACATAAAATAGTTCCTGTGCTCATCATCTCAAATCCATCTGAAATGAGGACAGGCTTTGAACCTAGTATGGCTCAAACTGATGTGTAAGATGTTATAATTGTTACCTTGAAGAAAACTGTCAGGCCTCCAAACAAGGAAAATTCTTAAGTGTTTTAAACCAGTTAAAACTAGTAAGCTGTGAAACACTGGTGCTCACCAGGTCTAAATTCTTACTATGATTTCACTAAGACTAAAACTGTAACTCATTTTAAATTTTAGAAACACAGATAATGAAATATAATTTGTGCTTTGTTCAACAAATTAGCTTTTAAATACATAATATATTTCATTTTTTCTCTCACTATTAACATATAATACTGGATTTAATGGAACTATTTCAAAACCCTTTTTGGTAAACTGTAATTTAAACTATTACATGCTGAGAATGAAATGGACAAAAAGTATAACTACAAATTAGTCTACATAGCATCACACACATAATCTGAATCACCTGACATCCGCAAACACAATATAAAAGATGAAGTTTATGGAATAAGCTCATGTTAAAGTACTCATTGTTTAAACAAACGTATATTGGTAAAGTCATGACTGTAATCATAAAAACTTTTGCAAAGGCTCAATTTAGCTACTCTGAGTAAATTATTAGCAATGATAAAGGAACAGAAAGAAAAAAAAAAACAAGAAAAATTTATAATTGTTTCTTGAATACAATTTAAAAAATAACTAAATTCAAGTGGTTTTTAACCACTCAAAGTCTTTCACCCTGCCTAGTGTTTCAAGGAATTTCCCACTACACCAATTTTCTTTTATTTTTCTGCTATGTTCCTATTGCATCCTGTACAAATATCTGAAAAGTACATGGCCCCCATCAAAAAAAAATGCACTTTTCTTCATATCTTAATCAAAAGATAAAAAATGTATTCAAAACAGCAGGGGAAGAAACCTGCTGAACTCATACTTGGATTAAGGGTCTTTTCTATATGCTCTCTGCTGATCCTGGAAAGAATACATAAAGGAATGTTCAATGATGAAAAGAATGCAATCAATGCAGCTCAATTTGTCTGCTATCATCTCACACTCCAGAATACGCCTGAGCTAATTAGAAGTAAAAGCCAAGTTTGTGATCTGAGATATAACTGAAGCATGAAAATCACAACAAAGCTAAGTTACAGCTTTGAAATGGAAGAGCTTTACTACCTAACCTGACCTATCCTGCCTTTAACACCTACTGAGAATTAGTCTTACATCTTTTGGACTGATAGCTTTTACAAAATAACCCAGCGCTTCCACATAAAATAACTACTTGGCAAATTTCACCAGAGAGATCAAAAGTCTAACAACACACTACATAAAATAATTAAAGGGAAATTATGTTCAGGAAAGTATTAGTGATGTTGAAAACCTTTTTGAGATTTTAATATTTTACATGAAATCTCTAACAATTTACTAAGCAAATTTACTGAGGTAAAATCCATGTTTTGTCACATTAAGATATAAAAAAGAGAGGCCTCCCATTTCATGTACTGGCCATCTTGTTCTGCAAGCAATCTTCAAAACTAGCCAAAAAGATGGCTGAACTAAATGTTTTATACAAGTTCTTTAATAAAAAAAATTAGATACATATTAAGAAAATCAGTTTCACTGTATTTTTAGAAGCAAAATTTTTACTATTCTCATTTGTTACCTTAACATTTAGACAACGTGATGAATGACTCCTCAAGATGCTGTGCTCTAACTTCTTGCCAGCTACAAACTGTTTCTGAATTCTAAAACATTTCAGAGCTGTTTAAACACGCAGACTGCTCACACTACAGAGCAGAGCAAGCTAATTTTGTAACAGTTTGGAAATCAGAATCTCTGCCACCTTATCCATTGTACAACTTAGCTTTTGTTCTGCTCCACAAGCATGAAAGAACTTTAATTCATGGAAATGTAACTGCAATAACTACAGTTATGAACATACTTCTGCCATTGTACATTGGAGTCACAAGGCAGCACTAAACCTAACCTTCCCACACTGCAATAAACAGAGCTACTACTTACAAGTTTATTTAAAAATATTACAAGTATTTGCCAAAAGATCTGAACAGAGAGTTGCTTATCTGAGTCCTAACATAAACAGAAAACCAAGTTTTTCATTTCCCAATAGTATTAGCCTATAATTTCCTACTGTTATTATACTGCAGCAATAACAATCACAGATGAATTCAAAACCCAAGAAAATTACAGCTATAACCTATTTTTACGCAGTGGCTAATAATGAGAAAATCTTTATAACTTCTTTTTTTTAACCTTGAAACATCACTGCTAATAACCTGAAAATAAAAAAAACTGTTCAAACTGCATTAAAGCAATGTCTAATCCACTCATAATTTGCAAGTCTGTTCACATTTACATCCTACTTTAAGGATACAACACATTAACTGTGTTCTTACCAATAACTGTTCTTGGTCTTCCTTGGCATCCTTGTAAGAGGTGGATCCAGGCAACCAAGATGATAATGGAGTTTACAAGTGTCACACAGCAGCAGTAGGTGTTGATCATGGTTCTTCTTGCAAATTCCACAACTTTTCGCATACGTAGCAGAAAAGTATTATAATTACATATTCATCAAGAATAAATGATACACCCCAGTACATTCCCCAGTTTTAATACAAACGTGGCAACTTCAATTTCAGCATATCATTTAAGTGTGTAATTACTTTTTGGAGTAATTATGGAGGAGATTTTTTTTTAAGGCGTTTCCACCTATGTACAGTAAAAGTGTTAAAGGTTCCTAATAAGAGTTAGCTAAAAAATGGCATTCAATTAAATTTTTGAGGATTTCTAACGAGTTAATAATCACTCAATACTTCAACAAAATATACCAGTAGCAAGTAGAAAAAAATGTAACAAATGCTTAAACAGAAAATTATGCTGCTAGTACCAATCTTAATAACCAATCACACGCTTAGGCAGGTAACCACCTTGAAACAGGTCTATGCTGATGCTATGCTGGGCAATATAATTCATTAGAAATTCTACTTCCTTTCTATTATTATTTTAGTGGAATTGAAATTCTAGTCATTTTGAAAAGATAGGTGTTCACTGATTACACTATAACATGGAAGGAACTGAGTGCACTTGAATGAAACAGAATTGGTGAAGCATGACTCTCAATTACTTGTGCACATTGAAATTGCCAAATCCTCAGCCCACTGCCATGTTTTCAAGATTTCTACCTCTTGCAGCACTAAAATTAACTTTTGCTTGTGTAAATCATCCTCTTCCCTTAGCCTTCTAGCTGGGCAAAACACTACTTGCTATGGCTGGATGCTCTCTAGACCATGTCACCCCTCAGCTGAGGGTGAGAAAAGAAGATCCTAGATGACATGCATGTATTTTACACAGTCACAGCCTAGGATCCTAGCTTGTGTCCCACTATTAATAAAATCAAACACTTAATAAAAACCCAGTCAGTAGCTTCACAGCTTACAGAAGAGGGGAAAAGGTGGAACTATGACCAAGTGAATACATTTCATAGCCTTGGAAATTAATAAAAATAGAAGTAGAGAAATTTAGCATGAGCAAAAAGTGAGAATTCTTATATGACAAGTGTTTTGTGCATCCAGAGATCGTGACTGAACTGCATCATCACTGTTCTCAAAATCATTCACTCACATGAATGCATTCTAAGAATAAAGTGACCAGTCAGTTTTCACATCAAAAAAGAAAAAAAAAAGAACCCTTCTACTTCAGATTCAAGGAGTTAGCTTTGTCCTTAAGGCACTGCTGTCAAATTAGTAGAAACACCCAAACTTTAGTCATGTGTGTGGCAGGGCAAAGAACTGACCAGTATTCAACTTACCCTTCAAAAATAAGTAAAATGTACAGACAACTTTAAAGCATCTTTTCAATTAAAAACTGAAGCCAACAATTTTCTCAGAACGCTATTTTGAAACTATAAGTTACTAGATACTGTATCTATTCTGTCAAAATTTAATTACTTGCCTATAAAGTACTGCGGGAAGTGTAGATGCCTTTTGTGTTCCTCCTTCCTTTTTACTTGGTTTCCTTTCCTTAGGAGCCCGTAAAATTGCTGGGATGTTCAGTTTCTATTGGATTTGAAGAAATGCAGTACACATGAGTCTCGACACTTTTAAAAAATATTTCTCTAATCTCAGTGCATGAAGAACAAGACATATAATGAGAGGAAAATTGCTTAGCTAACTATTTTACAGACTACACATTTATCCCAGTGTGATTCTGTAATATAAAGTAATCTTACAGTAATTTTTTCAATTCAATGAGAAAAATACAGAAAGACTAGCTTTCAGAATTTTTCTTCAAGCTTCCAATATATGGATGGACAGGGATGCATTTCTCCAGGAAGCTGAAACAAGCAAAGGCAGATACATGAAAATGACAGAATACTGAGGCAGTTTATTTTCCCCAGCATCACAGCTACACTAGTGCTCGACAGGTTAATTAGAAAAATTATCTTATTGGACCAAGCCCTTCACAAAGCAGACGAGACTCTCGTTGGGTTTCTACTATCTGCAGTATGCTGGCTTCTCAGACAGCAACCATCTATCAAAGTCATTTCCCAGCAGCCCCATGGGTCTGCATCTGTTCAACCAACTGGAAAAAAATGTCATGCAAGCTGTGTAAATGAATTCTACTCAGCTTTTATCCTTTTTTCAAATTGAGTAACATTTGCATCAGGATATATATTTGCGAATACTTACTCAAAGGAAGGAAAAATAATCTTGGTTTAAAACATACGTTATGCAAGAATTCTTCTTTGCAAGTAGGGGAGGTAGGCAGACAAATGGAACTAATAAAAGGTTGCATATCTTAGGAACTACTACTGCATAAAGAAAGTGTAAGGTTCCTTTTTTGAACAGCAACACAAGCAGCAACAAATGGCATGCCAAAATTGCGAATAACTGTGTGTCTGCATTTCCACAGTGAACAGTTTCTTCAATCTCAAATCGTAACTGGAAATCATTGCAATCTCCCTCTCACATCAAAATGTCCATTGACATTTAATACCTCTGACATAAAACATATATGAAAACACTGCAAAAATCTTCTCTTTTTTCCTGTATTGACAGGAAAAACGCTAATTGCTTACAACAAGAAGTAACCCAAAACTTCTGTTGTCCGAGATATTTATATTCATCTGATCAAAATATTCTCCTCTGTCTAATTACACACCATTATGCACATACTGCATTTAAAATTATTTTTATCTCATAAAAGCCATAAAGAGTTAACTTATCATTTGAAGCCTACAGTAACTAAAGACAACTGGAGACAAAAACAGTAGGATTAACTCATGCTTCATGCTAAGGTTCATCAGAAATGACAGGTCAATCACTTATACCAAATGAAAGAGTTTTGCAAACAAGCACACTGTTAAAACAACAAAATTAAGCTACACGTTCCCAGTAGGCGGTTTGCAAAAGTCTAGGTACTTCAATCAGGAAACATTATCCCCTGAGTAAAGTCTGGGTATGATCAAATTAAATAAATTTATTCAGCCATAGAAGTAGCAGACAGAAACAAAAAGGTCTATTCTTAGAAAAGCTTTTCTGCTGTTTTCTTCTGTAAAAAGGGGCAAGGACCAACCAACCTGTCCAATGATTCTACCCAGCAGAGCCCAAATGCCTTGCCCTTCATTTCGCAGTTTTCCATTCATATTTTGTAGCTCTTCTAAGGACTCACACAGCTGAAAAGTTAAAGGAAAAAAAAAAATAGGCAACAGGAATGAAAATCCATTTAGAATTACTAAATAAAATTTACACAACCTCTTACCAAGGGTGCATTAATTTATTGTGGGGTTAGAAAAACAATGAAACTTATATCAATATAGCTGAGATTAGTACAACCATTCAATAATTTAACAGAAGTGAAACAAAAAACCTAGAGCAACCACTTTATTTTGTAAAGACCTGAAGTATTTCAGCATGGAAATAAAGTTTCATGAAGTCAAATGGAAAGGAAAACTAATATACAGCAATACATCTTTTATGTGCTGTACACACTACTTATACAGCAAGATTATAACAAGTGAACATATAAATGAATTAAAACTCTCTTTTGCCACACTCATAGAAAAGGAAAATTTAAAATTAAAGGCCACAAGCAAAAAAAAAGAGGTTTTTTTTCTTCTGGAAGTAACTCTTAGGCTGTGTATTTTGAGAGGTAACTATTAATTTGGTTAAAAGCCTTAGGCACAACTTCCTTTCTCTTTATCATGTCTGGGCAGTTCACAAGGATCTGCTGCTACATTTTCCATATGTTCTCACTTAAAGCACACACCAAACAGTTTAGGAATTAATAGCAACACAATATTTTGTCGTCATTAACTATCACTTAGTGGACTGCTGAATTCAGCAAGAATTGCACCATGCCATCTGTCACAAAAGGTACAGTATATCTATTTTTCAAAATAACTGAATATTAAAATGAATATTTATTTCGTAAAAATGCAAAAACCTCTTTTTTAACCATAATGATGAGTTATTAAAAAATTCCATTAGCAAAATTTTGGGGGAGCAAAGCCATGATTTATGGGCATCAAATTTGTTATACACTAAAAAGCATGCAGAGGACACTGTGGAGGTGTCTGAATACTGATTATTTCTGTCTGAAAAATTAGTCAAGTCATTAAACCTAAGCCCAACTGGAGTTCTAGTTGACATAAATAAATAAATAAATAAATAACACCCTTGAGTATTGTAGATTGCCAGTTATCAAGCTGAGCTCCAAGCAGAGAATCCTGCAGGTTCAAACAGGTCCATGTGCAATTTGTTACTGGAGCTCTCAGTAGGGTCAGTTAAAGAACTTGTGTGCAGTCAACACATCACATTTTAGAAATTGATATTACTTGTATGGGAGAAGACAGACTACTGAATATTTTTAAAAGAAGAAATATGCTTTTATATATTACTTTTAAAATATCAATAGCTTGCATCTTTCATTTTCATCTGAATTTTTTTCCATGGAAAGAAAAATTCTATCAAAGTTAATAGCATCAATACTAAAATATTACAAGCATGTATCAGCCCTTTTTCTTCACCTTATTATACTCCACATGAAGCTTTTCTTGCTCATTTTCTAACTTATCCTTGATATTCTTCTGTTCAGCCATGTTCTCCTGGATTTGAATCATGCGCATATTTCTCTCTATTTAAAAGAAAACTGCATTATTTCCCACTCTTGAACACTCATTTTCAAGTTTTATGCACTATAAAAAAAGTGAAGCGATCTAAAGTAAAAAAAACTGTAACAATACAAAGACACAAAACTATAGGTACAAACTGAGTAGAATGAGAAGTCATAACATTTGTATTTTGCTGCATAAATATTGTGATTGCTTAAATGATGAACTTTGATCAGGACCTAGCAAACACTCAAAAAGTCATGCTATTCCACACAGAAATGGAGGATAATTTAAGGAAGAAATATTAAATCAAAATTACCTACTCACTTCTTAATGACAGTTCAATCTGTTTATATTTCAAAGATTTTATTCTTTTCTGAAGTGTCTTTAAAAAAAAACTTTCTGTGTAAACAGAGACTCCAAGCAATAATATACCTGACCTTAAATGAAGTCATAATCCACATTTATCTACTATAAACAATTAAATACATCCAAAATAAAAAAAACAATGAAATAGCATAGCACAATGCAGCAAAGTGGTACCTTTCATGGAGAAAAATAAGCCATTTTCTCCCTTACCAAGGTAATAATTCACAAAGTCAGCGGTGAGAGCTGGTTGTTTATGTTTTCTTCTTCCATCAACACTGGAACTCGTATCTGAAGTATCCACTGGAAAAATGTCCGTGCTAATTCCCATCAACTCGGCTTTGCGCATGAGCTTCCGTATGGCTGAAGCGCTGCTCGTGAGCGGCCGGGGCAGCTTCTCCCTGGGAACCCAGGCCTGGGGCCTGGTGGTGCGCGCCAGCTCCGCCTTGGCACGATACTGCTGGAGCCTGGCATTGATTCGAGCCTGCAACGGAGGATTCCACAAATTAAAAACATCAAGGAACCATTTAGAATTAGCTCCCAGTTATAATTTGGAACACATCCGCGTTTTATTTCCATTTTAAAAGCTGCACAATCTAATCAGTGCCATTTTCACTCCAGAACCTCACAACTCAAGAAACAGATGTTGATACAGAATTCCATTTTACTTCAGTGCACACACAAATGACATTATCCTTTCACTAGGTTTTGGAGCTATGCACACATTTCTTGATGAGATTTCCCCATTCATGAAAGCAACAGATGACTTCTGGCTTTGAAACAAGCCCTTCTCATAATGAAAATTTGATGGGACTCTGAAAACTCAGTACTGGTCGAAGCTCTGGTCGACCTACCACATATGCATTTAGATACACATTAAATTGGTATTTCTGTCAGCAACAAAAGCTGATGAAGAGCATTTTTACCATATTTGACATACTTTTGTAGGAACTCCTTTCTCAGTGCCACTTCTCTTTATAAATGTTAAACTTGCTGATTATAATTTGTCAAAAACACTACCCAAACAGAAGTGAAGCAGACAAGAGAAGCTCACAATATATATTGTTGATGACATCTGTATATTTGTGACCATCTGGGAGATCCACCCCAGAAGATCAAGCTTTTACTGACAGCTGGAAAACACTGTCTTGAGGGAACTCTGTGAAGTGGCAATTCTGGCAGAAACTGACATCAACATACAAACCTTCAGAGGCAAAACTCCAGCTGACTATCAGTTAGAAGCTGTTTACTTGCCTGCACAAAGAAGAAACTAAACTAATGTGACTGCCCCACCATATGGTGTAAGATACTCCTGAGACAAAAGCAAAAGGTGTGCGTATACGTGCACACTATGGCTAAGGAACATCTCTGATTTCAAACAGAATCACTGAAGGTAGTACTGCATACAGTTTAACACATTACCTTACTAAGTCTTGAACATTAATGACCAAGAAACAAAGCAAATTCAGCTTACAGGTCAGCTCTGACCTCAATGGCTTTTTTCTTGGACCCACAGCAGCAGGCAACAGGTCCACCTACAGCCACTGCTGCACTATACCAAAGTCACCAACAATAAAAACATGTAGTTGTACAAAATGGATGCAAGTTATCATACTTGCATTAAGATGCCTATGACACTATGTCAAGTAACTCCACCTGCAGTTTTCAGCAGTCATTCCTTCAGTTTCCAAAAATTTAATCTAAATAATTTAAATTAAAAACTGCAGGTTCTAGGTTTGGGGAAAAGAGGAGAGAGAAAGGGAAATGCTGGGAATTGATCAGCATTATCAGCACTGCATAATACATGTCTGAAAACAGAGCTAATAAGCCCTGCTGGATCCAAACTGATATTGCACAACCAGCACTTACCATTATATTGGACAGTATTCATATTATTGTAATGTCTCCACCACACAGGTGCATTTCACATAACTGAGAGTTGAGTATATTCAGCAAGAATTATGAAACCAGTTTTAAATCAAACTACATGAAGCTTAGTATCCAAAAAAATATTTTATTCAAAATCCTTCTATGGTATGAGTTTGCTCATGCTCATTCTCAACAGCATAGGTCATTCTAAATTAATATTCTCCTATTCAAAGATCTCTGAAGAACTGGAAAGACAAGATTCTTTTAAATAAAAAGTTTGATAATATGAAACAATATTTTCTTATCATTACACTACAATTCTCACTTAGGAAAAAAAGCAAATAGTCCTCTCCCATAAATTATTTCCATTATTTGCAACATCTGCTACTTTCTACAAATAAATTAGGCAGGTTTCGTTTAGGTAACAAGCTGCTTTTCTGCACAAGTGTGATTTTTTCCATGGAATGCAGTTCAGTCTAAGTAGTGAAGCAAACTATGCTAGAAAATCCTCAGAATCAGAAAAAAAAAAAAGACACACACTGAAACATGAAAGTATGCAGACTCCCTCAGAGGAATTGAAGCCTTTGTATCAACAGGACATTTATCAGTTGAGCTTCTGCAGTAACTAACTGTTTTAAATGGATCTGTCACTAGACAGGGATATAGACTTGCCTAAGGCTTTCAGACAACTCCCACACAGTAGCAGAGACTCACTGCTTTGCATGAATTATTTTTTTTCCCCTAGGAAATCTTTACTATGAAAACACCTAGCACACAGAATTTCACTTAGACCTACAAAATTTGAAATCTAGACAGAAATAGAAATATGCCTAATTTTTTGTGACTTTTTTCTTCAGAATCTTGAAGAAAATGTGAACTAAAATCTATGAATTACAATGAAAAAGTAATTACCAACTTTCTACCTCAAAACCAAAGTAATATTTTTCAATTCACACAAGCACAGATATTTGATATTTATTGAAATAGATATGTAATATATATGAGATATAACTATATCATATATAAAGAGAATTGTCCTTAAAGACCAAACCTATAAATAGTTCAGTGTGCTGTTAAATGACAATGCACTATCAATATATTCCACATTTTCATTCTCTACTATAATAACATTTTTACTTTCTCTTAATTTGTCTTGTTTAACATGGATGATTAATACACAGGCATCTGTGTCACAAATACAATACCTGAGCTTCTGGTGAAAGCTGTTTTTCTCTTTCCTGCAAGGACATTTTACAGTAAGATTGTAAAGCCAAGTAGTTCTTCCGCTTCCATTTTCTGTCTAACCTGTCTGCATGCTGTTTACAATAAGCAAAAAAAGGGTCAGCTATATCCTGTTTCAGAAAAAAACAAAGGGGAAGGAACAAAAATAAAGTGAGACAAAGTAAGGCCAAAGGGCTCTGAACAGCACAAACATTCTGGCAATCAGTTCACATGTTTGAATGGGAATGTTTTCAAAATCAAGTAAAAAGTATGTTTCTAAATCAATTTTGTCATGTTGATGTAATTTACAATATAAGGTGTTTTTCCATTGTTTTCATTGCATAATCCTAAACATTTTTAAATGCATTAAGGATTTAACTCTCTACTAGTCAATCTCAGTACTGTATTTACATTCCCAATAAAAAAATCCCAGCAAAATAAATTCCTAAGTACAAATCCCTTTGACATATAACATGTATTAATTTCCTGTTGATTAACTGTGCCTTGTAAATTAAATCCTACCTAATAATGCTGAATACTATCAACGGCAATATATTTGGTTTCTCCAACCATTTTGGTGGCTGTACCCTCACATGATTTATCATCTCTAGGATGATTTTTTTTCCCATTTTTCATTCCACCATATCTGCACACAGTCATGGCTAGGTTTATAGAAACTTTTAGTACCCGTAAACCTTGCAAGCAGACTACCAATATCTGAGCCATGAGGAGACATGGTTTGACAAACACATTTTGTTGCCTTTGTATTTTCAAAAGTGTATCAACAACATCATAAATCTATAGACTAAGAAAAACTTAAAGCAGTCTTCCTTCATCTAGTAATACAAACATTAATAAATTACCTGCCTATCAAATTTCCCTTTATTCCACTCATAAAACATAAAATAATAAAATTTACTCTGACTTTCCTTATAANGTAGGAGGGGTTAGACTACGATGATATTTAAGATACACCTGACTTTCAAAACTATTGGTACTACAATAATTTCTTTCCTCTGCAGAAAGTCTACAGCAGTTGTTCTGTGTGTGTTATAATTTTAAGAGGGCAAAATGCGAAAAACTGCAGATGCTTTGATTTTTGGAGATCTATAAACTTCATATTTCTTGTCAGAAATAATAGCACATATTGATTTATGTTTCCCTGACAGACCTGTGGCTACAGTGACTACTTGAAAAAGACACACAGCTCTCTTTTACACCCACTGAAATGCACAGCAAAAAGGACCAATATAAGATTACACCCATGTTTTAATTCTGGATACCACCTGAATTCTTCAGACATTTGCATTTCTATCTTATGTAAAGTTGTAGCTGACACACCAAAATTAATGATATACTTCCACTGTTTTACCTTCTATCAAACTATGTTTCATAGATATGTATCACACATATCAAAACTAGCCAAACCCTCAACTCTCTCATTTATGCATCCTTTAGCACATACTGCTAAGGATAATCTAAAGATAAAAAAATAAATCAGTAAACATTATAATGCTATATAATCATTTCAAACAAAAAGGTCAATGCAGGAGAATTTCACCAGTACAGAACAGAGAATAACTCTGATATAAAACATAAGCAAAACAGAAAACTCTCAGAAAATGGAATTGGGGAAACTTTCCCCATACCAAAAAACTGACTTAATGAAACCAGTACACTATCAATAGCATGCACAACACAAACTACAAAAGCCTGTGAAAAAAGCCACACAGGTTGAAGCTGCACAGATAACGTGTTTTCTATCCTGTTACACATTAACCATGACCATTTTGCCAAGATAGCAATTTTTAAGTCATGATGTCATCCACTGCTAATGAAAAGTTAGAAATTACAAACTTTCTTTGACAATGAAAAGGTTATGATGAAAGATATTGCAGAAAAAATTCCTTTTGTCTCTCTTTGCTTTGTTAGAAGACAGAAGAAATGCTCAATTGATGGCACCACACAGTCAAAATAATTTCAAATACAGGTAAGGACTGCCATGTAGACACCAGATGGCACACTCGTTCAGTACAGATCAAAGTGAGTATCTTAAATGGTATATATCGCTACTATTCAAAAAATATCTCTGAAATAATTATTACATTTTCCAGAAAAATGACAGTAGTAAAAAGGGAACTGTCAGATAAAAAGAAACAGCAGTAAATCAAAACATGATTATAAAAAGAAACAAGTCAACCATGAAGCTTAATTACACAGAATTACAATTTTTCTCTATATTTTTAGTTTCCATTGTCTTCACAACTTTTTTCCCCCTAGAAAATCAAAAATTTTGCAACATTCCTGCTGTCAAGCAAAACTATCACTGAGTCCATCAATTAACTTGTAACTATTGTTTCTTAGGCTTTAAAAAAGTAACAGAATTTGAGGAAGAGAAGGATTGACTTCTATCCTTTTTAACACTGATTTCCTCCAAAGCACACATTGAGAGAACTGAAACAGAAGCAGAAAGACAAAAAATGCCAGAAAGGCTCGGTTTTCAGGTGTTGCTAAAACAAGTGACTCTTTCCTGGAAAACTCAAGAGTATTTATTTACAGACGTGATAGATACACCGGTTACCTTTACTTACAGAGATACCAGTATTGACACCATTGGAATATCATTTGGAATATGTCCATTTCTCCATGCCTTTGCTGCATGAAAAACAAGTGATCTTTCATCTGCAGGTCTTTTTTACTTCTTGCTTTCTTAAAAATCAAACCAACCACCTAAAACAATCCCAAAACTCCAAACAAAACAAAAAAAACCCAAAATGTAAAACTCTGATACGCTCCATTTGCTTCAAGCATTATGGAAGAGCTAGATCTTACTTCACTCCATTCTGAATTTGATCTGAAGCCAAAAGAGTCCTATATTATCATGCATCCATGTATTTGGCAAGCTGAAATATTTATTTTATATATTTGTGACATTATGATGTCATATTCTCAGTTGAACTTTTCTATAAATTGAGGAAGAAAACAAAGTTATTTTACAATGTTCATTATTATGAAAACTTAAAGTTTCAGGAAGTTGACTGACTAGTGATTTTTTTTTCTAGAGCATTTATGTTCAATTGACAGCAACTAATCTTTAACTTGTGTATGTCAAAACCATAACACAGACTTTTTAGCGTTAAACAAAAAAATTACTGTGTGTTCCTCTGGATTACATACAACATAACTATAGAAAGAAGATTTTCAGGTTTCAAATAACAAAAACAAGTTTGGTATCAGAGCATCAGAATACTTAATTTACAGGCTTCAACAATTAAGTTTGCAAAATTTCATCTTGCAACACTGGGTAGAGATAGCTGCTTCTCAATAAAAAGGAATAAAAAAATGGAATTTCTGCAAAAACAAGTTCTGCAAAAAGCCCTAATATGTTCATTAAGAGTACCAGGATCTGACAGCATTTACTGGAAGATGAAATATTCAACAACACAAACACTACTTAACTTCAAAGGACACACCAGCATCCCTTCAACTCTTAGAGCACACAGCTAGCCCCAGCAGCACAAAATTGCTTTAGAAGATGTTGTATGTATGTGACACAGAGGAACTGCATTATACTTCCAGACAACAGCATATATAGTAGGCAAAGCACAGTGTATGAAATTTTTAAAAATATACTTAAGATCATTTTTTCAAAAGGACATAAGGAAAACTCTTATTTTGCAAAAGTAAGACACCAGACTAACAAGACTATTTCAGCAATGACATGTCTGATAAAAAATAATCTGTGCATTTTTTTTTTATTCCAGGATAGCAAATGAAGTCGACAGATTTTTAAAAGCTATGTTTTTATAAACTCTGAAAATCTGAACATACATAGCTCAGCAGAGTAAAACCATTAATCTCTCGATTTACTGCCGAGAAATGCTATTTGCATCTCTTTAAAGTATTTTCCAAAGAAATAATCTACTCTATAATCTTTATGAAAAAAATAGTGAAAGAAATGGTACAGTTTAGAAAAGCAAATGTTAAAAAACATATTCAGATTTATTAGAAATACAAGGAAGGTGTTTATAGATTTCTATTAGTTATTTGCTAATCGTTAGCTACTAATTTCAATGAAATTAACTAGCAGCAGAAATAATGATTTGTGATGCTTATAAAGGTGTGAAATTGGAATTATAAAGATAACAGATTTTAAATAAAGCTAGTTTAAAAGGCTATGCACTGAAATGCAAAGAATCTTAAAAAGGTCACTACATATGGCTTGAAATGTATAAATCATAAACAATTCAATGAATTCTGTCTGCAAATGCAGCCGTTATACAACAGAATTAAGTATAAAGACCTAATGTATTGTGTATTTACATTAATTTGTCATTTGTACAGACCTCACCTCAGAGTAAAAGTATGGTATATTTAAATTCACCCTTGTATATTCACTTACATGCTCTTAGGAAGCTTAAAATCAGAAAGGTCTTCTTGTAAACTTAAGTTATATTTTAATGTACAATATGATAGTTGCTGTCTCCAAAATAATTGAGTGCAAATTCTCTCTGATTTCCCATTTCTTTGAAACAGCTGCTCTACAATGCAGAAATGACATCAGCCTGCTACAGGATGAGGATGGTCACCTCACAAACAGAAACACAGACAAGACAGAGATATTTAATGCATTCTTTGTCTCTGCCTTCAACAACAGCAACAGGCTAAGGGTGTCCCAGTGCCTTGAGCTGGAAGACCATGGTTGTGAGCATGATAAATTCCCAGTCAACCCTGAGTTTGTGTGGGATTTACTGCTCCACCTGGATCTCTCCAAGTCTATGGGGCCTGATGGGATTCATCAGAGAATAATCAACTGCCTCAAGTCATTGTAAAACCTCTTTTGATGATTTTTGAGTGGTCTTGGGAATCCAAGAGGTCCCGGTTGACTGGAAGCTAGCGAATGTCGCGGTTTTCAAGAAGGGCACAGAGGACCCCAGAAACTACAGACCTGTCAGTCTCACTTCAGTGACTGGTAAAATTATGAAGATTATTCTGGGAAATATTGAAAAGCTCTCAAAGGACAACAGTCATCAGTAAGAGCCATCATAGCTTCATGAGAGGAAAGTCCATCCTGCCAAACTTGATTTCCTTAGGTTATAGTGAATGGGGCGATACCAGACTGGCAACTTGTCACTGCAGCACTCCATATGAGGCCCACTTCTTCTCAGTGCCTTCATAAACCACTTGGACACAGGATGTGAAGATATACTATTGAGGTTTACCAATGATACTAAACTGGGAAGAGCTGCTGACTCCCTTAAAGGCAGAGGTCCTGCAGAGGGTCCTAAACGAGAGGGCTGGGCAATTGCCAACTATATCAAGCTTAACAAGGGCAAGTGTCAGATTCTGCACCTGGGATGGGGCAACCCTGGATGTACAGACAGACTGGGGAATGAGAGGCTGGAGAGCAGTGCCACAGAAAGGGACCTGGGGGTCTGGTCAGTGTCAGGATGAACATGAACCAGCAGTGCCCTGGCAGCCAGGAGGGCCAACCCTGTCCTGGGGGGCATCAGGGACAGCATCACCAGCCAGGCAAGGAGGGGATTGTCCTGCTCTGCTCTGAGCTGGGGCAGCCTCACCTCGAGTGCTGGGGGAAGTTTTGGGTGCCACCATATAAAAAAGATATAAAGCTATTAAAGCTATCAGAAGGAGTTCAAAGGAAGACTACAAAGATGGCGAAATGCCTAGAGGAGAAGGTGTGCAAGGAGTGGCTTGCTCAGCCTGGAGGAGACTGAGCAGAGACCTCATTGCAGTCTCCAGCTTCCTCACATGGAGAAGGGAAGGGGCAAGCAGCGATCTCTTCTCTCTGGTGATCAGTGACAGAATGCCAGGAAATGGCCTGAAGTTGGGTCAGGGGAGGTTTAGGTTGGATATTAGGAAAAGGTTCTTCACCCAGAGGGTGGCTGGGTTCTGGCACAGGCTCCCCAGGAAAGTGGTCACAGCTCCAAGCCTGAGAGAGTTCCAGAAGGGTTTGCACAACGCTCTCAGGCACGTAGCATGGTTCTTGGAGCTGACCCATGCAGGGCCAGGAGTCAGACTTCAGTGATCCTTGCGGGCCCCTTCCAACTCAGAACACTCTGAATCTATGATTCTGTATAAATACACTGTGAAGTATTTGAAAGTTAAGAGATAGAAATACTGTAGAGTGCTCACAGGGTTCTTTAAAAAGCATTAGGTTACAAAATACTGTTCTGGCACACAATTAACTGTACAAGGGAGAAGCACTGTCCTGACTCTGAATAACCTGCTTCAGTCCCGGTTCTCTCACACTTACAAATTACAGATGGAAACTGACTTTCCAATAATCATGTAGAAGTTTTGAACACTAGTGTGCTCCAATTGTCACAGGTCTCTGGCCAGATGAACTGGTTTTGGCTGGGATACAGTTAATTTTCTTAGTAGTAGCTGGTATAGTGCTGTGGTTTTTTGATTTAGTATGAGAATCACAGAATATTCTGAGTTGGAAGGGACCCACAAGGACCATCAAACCAGCTGTTAAGTGAATGGCCCATACAGGGATCAAACCCGTAACCCTGGCATTATTAGCACCATGCTCTGACCAGCCAAACTACTCTGGTCTCAGTAAAGCTGATAGAATATACTGATAATACACAGATGTTGCTGTTATGCATTCCTCAAATCAAGGGCTTTTCAGTGTCCCATGCTCTGCTAGGGAGAAGCTGCACAAAAAGCTGGAAGACAGAACAGCCATGACAGCCTGACTGAACTGAAAAAGGGATATTCTACACCACAGAACATCATGCTCAGTATATAAACTGGGGGAGTTACCCAGAATGGGGCCAATCAGTGGAGGGGGGAACAGTCAGTGACTAATGCTTCTCTTTTACAGAGAAACCCTGTTCTCAGGGCAGCAATAATGTTATCTTGCAAATCTGTATGTTGTACAAAAGCAGAGAACTGGAGAGAACTGAAAGAGAGACTGAAAATTCAAGTGGAAGAACAAAATCTTTCTTAGACTGGTAGCAGTAATTTTTCCACAGTGCAACACCATACAGTGACAACACAGTATGCCACTGAAAGTTAATTAATCTCTGTATTACATACTACAATGTGTGTATGTATGTATGTGTGTATTATGTAACACATGAAGCCCTAAATCACCAATGTAGCACTGTAGATCTGTAGTTCAGCAGATCACAGTGTCACAGCATGACGGGAACACTTCAGAGCAATCAGACTTCTCTCCATTTTGCACAGAAGAACCTCGGGAGTTATTACATGGGCTTTAGAACAAACCAATCCTGTATCCACTTGGATTTCTGAACAATGCCTTATATTACTCCTTTTTGTATTACAGCTACAAATGTCTTTCCTGCAATAATTTTAGTTCTCTTTAGTCCCAGAATCATGATTCACCACAGTCTAAGAGCATTACATTAGATATAAAAAGAGAGAAGAGAAAGAACTCAAAAAATGGGAGACGAGATACAAAGGGTTCAGTAAGCAGAACACCAAGTAAGTCTTCTTTCTTTGTGAGTAACAGCATTACAACAGTAAGTACAACCTACCCACACAGCTGTAAGATTCTATAAGCTCTTATGAATAAGAAGGAAGGGTACTTTCCCTTCCTTCAATGACAAAAAGAAAGAAGTTTCTCAAAATTTAATTTTGGATTACTCACACTCCTAATAGTCTGAGCTAAATCGATCAGTTTGGCTTGAGTCATTCTTACAAGTTCTGAGTCACAGACTGGGAAAGGGAAGCCATTAAGTAAATCAAAGCTGTGGCCCAAAATTAAACATTTAAGACCGGGTCAGGAAAATACTTGCTTAATCCTATCAGTGTACGTTTAGTAAGGTATCTGCTAGTATAATCATAAAATGTCTAGAAAGCTTTGTGCAGAAAGTAAAGTTGTGCTGCATGAGAGATGAGGTTTATCTAACTCTAACGTGAGAGGTTTTAATAATTCCTGATATTTAGAAATACATTGGAGGATGAACCACTTATGTCTGAAGGGATAAGGGAACACTACTAATCCCGTAATCTGGACCTAAATGCCCTTTGATATTTTTATGTTCTTTTTATAGGTGGTATGATGCATCACACATGAAAAGCCTTGTTTCTGAAGAATTAGGAGAGCAAAATTTAAGGAAAAGTGCACAGTGATTAATAAAAAAGAATTCCTTTTTTTTTTTCCTTTGAATTTCTTTTAAAGGAAGGAAAGATGCTAAATACTTCATCAGTACAGAAAGCAAGAGGTTTTGCTTGTCTTCTCAAAATTCTATCCACCACAAAAATTTAAGAAAACATGCATTGACTAGCAAGACTAGGAAGTCAAAAAAACCTGAAATAACAGTCTTGGGATGGTCACAAAATGTGCAGTCACTCAGCAGGTTGCCTGAAGATAAGAAAATTATTCCTGCAGATAAGGAAATTACTAATTATTTTACAGCTATATATATAAATCTACCCTAGCAAGTGTCCTTACTGCTACAGTGAAGAAGAGCTGTTAAGGCTAAGTTTAAGTGCAAACTGAATTTTTCCTTAAGCCTGTTCAGCTCTTCAGTTCAGTACCGTGTTTCCCAGCTTTCTATTTTAGCAAAACAGTATTTACCACAACTAATAGAACACTAAAAGGAGAAAATGGAATATATAACAAAAAAAGAACATCAATCTAATTTAAATCCCTCAATTTAAAATGTCCACAATGTAGGTTATCTGAAACATTATTATGAATATAAGCCTCAAGCACATCAACTCCACCATCATTTACCGTGTTTCTGATTGGAATTTTCTTCGGTTCTGTTGGCACATCCTGAGGAACAAATTTCACTGGCTCCTTAATTTGCCTCCTTGATCTTTTGGTCCCATCTGGTAAGGTTTCCATGGCAATATCAGCCTCCATATCACTGCTACCTGCCTGGTCACACTCCGAGCATTGCCTGCAAAGCGGAAGATTTTAAGACTGCAGTCACAAGAGCAGAAAAAGAAACATATTGAAGTGTTTGTGTTTAAGATAAATACAAAAGTCAAGAAATCAAATGGACATCTACAATGTACATTTTTAAGCAACCAAGCAAAACTCAAGTAAGATATTCTTATTTTCCTGACAGTACTTAACTTCGAAAACCAAGATTCTGAAAGTAGGAATTAATCTTCAAGAAAAATGCTCCCTATTTCATAACTTTCATTCTACCACATCTTCATTTTTAAAGCTGCCCACTGATCTCTAATCTATTAATTACTGTAGCCGCTGCTGCAGTTTAATTATAGAATTATACAGTGGTTTGGATTGGAAGATATCTTAAAAGATCATCTAGTTCCCACCCCCTGCCATGGGCAGGAGCACTCTCCACCAGACCAGACTGTTAATCTTTACAATGACATGCTGTTGAATTCATTCCAATGAGAACATGCTTTAGTGGCAGGGATTTGGAGGACATGTTTATTATGAAAATAAAATGTAACATGTATTTCCTAAGGGAGTGGGTTTTAGATCTGAATAGTTGGGAGAAAATTACAAACACAAAAGCTAGGGACATATATTAACAAACTTTAAACACTAAACTGAAAAAAAAAAAAGCTTGAGTTTCTGAAAAATGTACAAAATCACCATCAAAACTTCAAAAATTAAGAGATGTTTAAGTAATTCCATTAAACAAGTTCCATAACAGAAGTAACAAGATAAGAATTCATCAGGATTTGTTTTTATTTGCAAAAAATCATCTTATGCAAAGTCATAAATGCAGATATTCACTAAAAGCATGTTAATGAAAACATAAAAATTATGCTCACTGCAAGAGCCAGTTTTAATTACTTCTCACACTACACTTTCAATTCAAAAAACTACAAGTCCATTCAAATAAAGTCCAATTCACCCCTGTCCTCCTATTAAACATTTTTTTAGTAATTCCAACCAACCAACAAAAAATCAACATAATATTCTGCTTAGCAGAATAGTTGGCATAAACAAGGAAAAGCACACTGAAATTATCTAAATGATAGAGCAAATTGGCTTTGGAAGGAGACAAAATAAAAACCCTATGTATTTAACTATTTTGAGTTACATTTTAATACATGTTTATGACAAGAAGGCTTATCCATGCTGTATAAACAAAAGCACAAAGTCAGATACACATTTTGTGTTTGAGTCTATTTGCCCCAATTTACACATTCAACAGAAATAGTTCTACTTCTCTGAACTTCTGTGAGAGCTAACTATCAAGTCCTTCAACTTTTCACCATATTTTCTAACGGATCAGTCTAACCCTAACTCAAGACCTTCCTCCTTTACATATACCTAAATTGTACATAATTGTGGCTACATTATAATGTTACAAAGATTCATCACCTCTTATCTCAAAAGCACTTAAGACAGGGTAAATAGGACACGTGAAAGTACTTGGAATACTTGGTCTAGAAAAGCAGAAGAACAGGGTAGATTGCAGGAAAGATAACAGTTTCTCCCCTCTCTCATCTAAGAATGGGAGTTTTTATGAACAGCCAAAGCACAGATCAGTTTATATACTTTTAACAGTTCTGGGCCAGCATAGAAGAGTATAGTCCTACATTCTTCCCCTTTGTCCTGGTTACAGAGGAAAAGGGGGATGGAGTTTCCAGCACTGTTTAATTCCATACAACACACATTATCACTGGGGGCGTGGGTTCAGCAGGAAGAGCCAAGCACCAGGAACTGAACATTTGCCATCTTGCTTGAACCTCTTCAGAGAGAAGGTGCTGGGATCAGCTGGCTCCAGCCTCCTCTCCACCACTGCTGGTCCCCTCCTCTATTCCAAACCCCCTCCTGAGCTGGTGCAGTGGAAGCAGCCGGACAGAGCCCAAAACCCCGGCCAGAGCTGGTGGTGTGGTGCCAGCATCAGTCACATGGGACAGAGTTGGGGAAACGCCGCCAAACACAGCCCAGCACAGCGGTCTGGGAAAAACAGCAGGAAGCACAGTGCCAGTGATCTGGCTTACAGAGCTTCAGCCTAGCTCTTTGCTCATTTCTTCACACTGGGGGGGCAGGGGAAGCTACAAGGGCTCTCCTCAGCTTAAAGCCTTTGTCTAGCAGCACTGTTTTTGGGAAAGTTTTGTTTGCTCCCAGCTCTCTCTCTCTCTCTTTTGTTATCAATACTGCTATGGTTATTGTGATTTTAGTAATCTCTTCCCATTTCTCCATTATCAGAAGGGGTGAGGGAAAAGGGAATAGCTTACTTGGGAGTTTTGTACTCTGTGCTTGAAATAATAAGCAACACTTCTATTTACAAGCCTCAGTTTGCTACATGCACAGTCTTTGTTAACACCTCTAGGCCTTAAGATACTAGAAGAAAAATATAAGGTACAATAGCTTTCACAATGCTACTTTTTACAGTTACATGTTTACATAAATTTGTGTGAATAAACACATACAAATATGTATTTGCATGCACATAAGTAAATAAAGGCACACAGACCAAACTATTATTTTAAGAGTTTATGGAGAAAGGCACTTCACTGATGAAGGAGAGAGAATCTTTAAGTAACAACATTCCCTCAAAATCCTGCATGTCTGCTTAGCTATAAGTCATTTTTTTATTTTTTTAAGATGCATTGTTCTTAAAGCTGTCCAGCCCAAAGCTTTAAGGTCAATTTCTATTTAGTAAGCATCAGAGAGCACAGCCCTCCATAACACTGCAGCATCAAGTCCTGTCATTAACTTACATACTGGAAAGCACAATGGAAATTATTATGATCTGTTTATGCAGATGTAAGCAATATCTATGAAAATGTTCAAAAATTCTATGAGAAGTTCCTACAAAGCATTTATTTTCCCCATTATTATGGAAAATAATGTGCTATGTATAAATTACAGAAATTGCTTCCATAACTTATGAGCTGCACTAAAAATGACACTTTTATAAGAGAAATAAATAGTTGTAGGGTTTTACAACAATATCTGGAATTGGGAATCCAGTTTCTTCGGTCTACCACCCTGTACATACGATTTAAATAATTCCTGTTACTTCTCTGTTATTACATGGGAAAGATACCATTTTTCTGCTACCTATGTTCAGACAGTTCTACAGAAAATACTCAGGCAGATCACTGAAGTGCTGAAGTCTCACTATTATCCTATTTAAATATATATATGAAGCATTTTAACTTTTATGTTACTGAGGAAGACATGAAACATCTCAACCAAAAGATGAGGTACTGCATGCCAAGTTCCTAAAATTTCTGGTTTTATGAACAAGTTTGCTCTGAAACAGGTTGTGCAAGTGTAAAAGCAATCAAAATTAGAAAAAACCTAGAGCTAGAAAAGAAAAGCAAAATCATACTATGATGGGGGTGGGGGATGTTGTGTGAATCACATAACAAAACTTCACAAATATATCAGAGGTAAAGGGGGAAAGGAGTTATAAACATGAACTTACAAACAACTTCTTGATTTATTGGAATAGACTCTACTATCACAGTCAACCATTTCTGACCATCCCTATTACAAAACAGACAAACTTCAAACAAAGCAGTTTGGCTGTTAGCTCCCATAGTGGCACAGAAAAGCTATTACAGACTATTACACTCCCCTGACTTGGAAACAAATCTCTTTTCAGCTCTTCTTATTGTTTATTTCAACACAGTTCTTGAATTTAAAGTACTCTTCCCATTCTGCTGTTTAATCCCAATACAGTCATAGAAAACAGCCATATGACTTCTTTTTGGCTACGCCACAGTCATGCTCACTTAATTTCAGCTCTTCAAGGACAAGCAGTGAACACAGAACCTGTCACAGCAGGTCACCTTTAGAGCTACTGCAACAATTTCAACTACCTCTAAATTAGCAAGCATTGCTATGCAGCATAAACAAAATAACAAGAGAAATGGTGCCAAGGAGTCAACTTTCAGTACACAGGTTTTGTTTTGCTTGTTTTGCTAGTCTAGACTTGCCTAATCTAGACCCACAGAGAAAATCAGTAGCAGGCTGTAATATGCCTACTTGAAAAACGTGTCTACTGCTAAAATTACTGGAAGTTTTTGTTCCATCAAGAAATCTCAGTGCTGATTTGAAATCTTTTAATCATAAAGTCTCTGATTAAGCACTAACAACCTACAGAAAAAAAAAGAAATTGTGTGATTTTGTTGTGTTTTCAATGTTACTTGATACAAGAATCAGAGAGAAACTTCCCATCTCACAACTTGTCAACTCACTAGCAGTGAGGTGGAAAAGAGCATATTCAAATTACTTAGCAAATGCCGCTACAGTGCTTCCAGAAAACAGTTCTGTCCAGTTTAAAAAGGAAAACTGCACAGTTACTTACAGTGAGGCTTGTTTTCAATAAGGAAGACACAGGTCTCACACACATGCTCTCTGACAAATCACCTCTCACAACGTTTACAAAGAATTAAGCCACTTTGAACTCAAGAAACATGGACCAAGCTTCAAGACGACACCCATGCTCTGTAAATTACACATGTAAATCCTGTACTGGGAGTGGAAAAAACCCAGGGCTGCTTTTATTCTGGAGATAAAAGACAGTATATACAAACCAAATACAGTTGTCAAAAAGCTTCTAAGAGCACCTTATAGAGTGTAAAGTTACAGAGTATAACAAAAAAAGGAAATTTGCCATTTGCAACCACCCAAACCCTTCAATTAGGGCAAGTGACAAATACATTAAAATGTATATGTCATATTCCACTCAGGTTTATATAAGTTAATAAATTCATATCATTATCCAGTGACTCGGGATGAAAAAATATTTGAAGTGCTGGATCAGTACTGGATGAATGAGGTCAGGAATATGAATGAATTTCAAGATACTGCTTTAGTATGGGACTACTGGAACTCTACAGCTCATTCTGTCCTGTGACCAATATTCCCCATAGCAGTCACCACTAAAATAACTTGGCCTTCTAGAACAAAAATAAAAACAACCAAGCTTACTACAACCATTAGTCCTTGTTTTGTCCATCTCAGCCCACAGTATTTCATATGCTACCAGCAGTTATCACTGTTTTTCAGCAATGTCATTCCAATAGAAGAAGCTAATCCTTGTTGGTAGCTTCCAAGCATTTTCTTAATGAAAATGTCAATATTTTATAATTAGATTTTGATTCATTACACTGCCTGCTAACACTTGTGCACCTTAGTACCAGTTAAGATCATTCTCTACAAGGAAAATACGTCCAGAATGGCCAGAAGCATAAAAGCACAGAAGTTGTCAGCAAGAATGATAAGACTTAGTATTATATTAACATGTTAATCAAAATAATATGCAATGGTTTAATCAATTGTATTTCTTTAATGAAAATGGCTGATTTTTAAGTGTAGATAAACCACAGCATTTCATTGTATGGTTTAAACTTCTGATCTAGGAGTTGGACTTGATTCTTCAAACTCAGGATATTCTATGATTCTACTTTGAAAGCACAGCATCAAAACAGGCATAAATTAATGCTGTAATGTAATGTTACATAAAATAGTTCCTGTGCTCATCATCTCAAATCCATCTGAAATGAGGACAGGCTTTGAACCTAGTATGGCTCAAACTGATGTGTAAGATGTTATAATTGTTACCTTGAAGAAAACTGTCAGGCCTCCAAACAAGGAAAATTCTTAAGTGTTTTAAACCAGTTAAAACTAGTAAGCTGTGAAACACTGGTGCTCACCAGGTCTAAATTCTTACTATGATTTCACTAAGACTAAAACTGTAACTCATTTTAAATTTTAGAAACACAGATAATGAAATATAATTTGTGCTTTGTTCAACAAATTAGCTTTTAAATACATAATATATTTCATTTTTTCTCTCACTATTAACATATAATACTGGATTTAATGGAACTATTTCAAAACCCTTTTTGGTAAACTGTAATTTAAACTATTACATGCTGAGAATGAAATGGACAAAAAGTATAACTACAAATTAGTCTACATAGCATCACACACATAATCTGAATCACCTGACATCCGCAAACACAATATAAAAGATGAAGTTTATGGAATAAGCTCATGTTAAAGTACTCATTGTTTAAACAAACGTATATTGGTAAAGTCATGACTGTAATCATAAAAACTTTTGCAAAGGCTCAATTTAGCTACTCTGAGTAAATTATTAGCAATGATAAAGGAACAGAAAGAAAAAAAAAAACAAGAAAAATTTATAATTGTTTCTTGAATACAATTTAAAAAATAACTAAATTCAAGTGGTTTTTAACCACTCAAAGTCTTTCACCCTGCCTAGTGTTTCAAGGAATTTCCCACTACACCAATTTTCTTTTATTTTTCTGCTATGTTCCTATTGCATCCTGTACAAATATCTGAAAAGTACATGGCCCCCATCAAAAAAAAATGCACTTTTCTTCATATCTTAATCAAAAGATAAAAAATGTATTCAAAACAGCAGGGGAAGAAACCTGCTGAACTCATACTTGGATTAAGGGTCTTTTCTATATGCTCTCTGCTGATCCTGGAAAGAATACATAAAGGAATGTTCAATGATGAAAAGAATGCAATCAATGCAGCTCAATTTGTCTGCTATCATCTCACACTCCAGAATACGCCTGAGCTAATTAGAAGTAAAAGCCAAGTTTGTGATCTGAGATATAACTGAAGCATGAAAATCACAACAAAGCTAAGTTACAGCTTTGAAATGGAAGAGCTTTACTACCTAACCTGACCTATCCTGCCTTTAACACCTACTGAGAATTAGTCTTACATCTTTTGGACTGATAGCTTTTACAAAATAACCCAGCGCTTCCACATAAAATAACTACTTGGCAAATTTCACCAGAGAGATCAAAAGTCTAACAACACACTACATAAAATAATTAAAGGGAAATTATGTTCAGGAAAGTATTAGTGATGTTGAAAACCTTTTTGAGATTTTAATATTTTACATGAAATCTCTAACAATTTACTAAGCAAATTTACTGAGGTAAAATCCATGTTTTGTCACATTAAGATATAAAAAAGAGAGGCCTCCCATTTCATGTACTGGCCATCTTGTTCTGCAAGCAATCTTCAAAACTAGCCAAAAAGATGGCTGAACTAAATGTTTTATACAAGTTCTTTAATAAAAAAAATTAGATACATATTAAGAAAATCAGTTTCACTGTATTTTTAGAAGCAAAATTTTTACTATTCTCATTTGTTACCTTAACATTTAGACAACGTGATGAATGACTCCTCAAGATGCTGTGCTCTAACTTCTTGCCAGCTACAAACTGTTTCTGAATTCTAAAACATTTCAGAGCTGTTTAAACACGCAGACTGCTCACACTACAGAGCAGAGCAAGCTAATTTTGTAACAGTTTGGAAATCAGAATCTCTGCCACCTTATCCATTGTACAACTTAGCTTTTGTTCTGCTCCACAAGCATGAAAGAACTTTAATTCATGGAAATGTAACTGCAATAACTACAGTTATGAACATACTTCTGCCATTGTACATTGGAGTCACAAGGCAGCACTAAACCTAACCTTCCCACACTGCAATAAACAGAGCTACTACTTACAAGTTTATTTAAAAATATTACAAGTATTTGCCAAAAGATCTGAACAGAGAGTTGCTTATCTGAGTCCTAACATAAACAGAAAACCAAGTTTTTCATTTCCCAATAGTATTAGCCTATAATTTCCTACTGTTATTATACTGCAGCAATAACAATCACAGATGAATTCAAAACCCAAGAAAATTACAGCTATAACCTATTTTTACGCAGTGGCTAATAATGAGAAAATCTTTATAACTTCTTTTTTTTAACCTTGAAACATCACTGCTAATAACCTGAAAATAAAAAAAACTGTTCAAACTGCATTAAAGCAATGTCTAATCCACTCATAATTTGCAAGTCTGTTCACATTTACATCCTACTTTAAGGATACAACACATTAACTGTGTTCTTACCAATAACTGTTCTTGGTCTTCCTTGGCATCCTTGTAAGAGGTGGATCCAGGCAACCAAGATGATAATGGAGTTTACAAGTGTCACACAGCAGCAGTAGGTGTTGATCATGGTTCTTCTTGCAAATTCCACAACTTTTCGCATACGTAGCAGAAAAGTATTATAATTACATATTCATCAAGAATAAATGATACACCCCAGTACATTCCCCAGTTTTAATACAAACGTGGCAACTTCAATTTCAGCATATCATTTAAGTGTGTAATTACTTTTTGGAGTAATTATGGAGGAGATTTTTTTTTAAGGCGTTTCCACCTATGTACAGTAAAAGTGTTAAAGGTTCCTAATAAGAGTTAGCTAAAAAATGGCATTCAATTAAATTTTTGAGGATTTCTAACGAGTTAATAATCACTCAATACTTCAACAAAATATACCAGTAGCAAGTAGAAAAAAATGTAACAAATGCTTAAACAGAAAATTATGCTGCTAGTACCAATCTTAATAACCAATCACACGCTTAGGCAGGTAACCACCTTGAAACAGGTCTATGCTGATGCTATGCTGGGCAATATAATTCATTAGAAATTCTACTTCCTTTCTATTATTATTTTAGTGGAATTGAAATTCTAGTCATTTTGAAAAGATAGGTGTTCACTGATTACACTATAACATGGAAGGAACTGAGTGCACTTGAATGAAACAGAATTGGTGAAGCATGACTCTCAATTACTTGTGCACATTGAAATTGCCAAATCCTCAGCCCACTGCCATGTTTTCAAGATTTCTACCTCTTGCAGCACTAAAATTAACTTTTGCTTGTGTAAATCATCCTCTTCCCTTAGCCTTCTAGCTGGGCAAAACACTACTTGCTATGGCTGGATGCTCTCTAGACCATGTCACCCCTCAGCTGAGGGTGAGAAAAGAAGATCCTAGATGACATGCATGTATTTTACACAGTCACAGCCTAGGATCCTAGCTTGTGTCCCACTATTAATAAAATCAAACACTTAATAAAAACCCAGTCAGTAGCTTCACAGCTTACAGAAGAGGGGAAAAGGTGGAACTATGACCAAGTGAATACATTTCATAGCCTTGGAAATTAATAAAAATAGAAGTAGAGAAATTTAGCATGAGCAAAAAGTGAGAATTCTTATATGACAAGTGTTTTGTGCATCCAGAGATCGTGACTGAACTGCATCATCACTGTTCTCAAAATCATTCACTCACATGAATGCATTCTAAGAATAAAGTGACCAGTCAGTTTTCACATCAAAAAAGAAAAAAAAAAGAACCCTTCTACTTCAGATTCAAGGAGTTAGCTTTGTCCTTAAGGCACTGCTGTCAAATTAGTAGAAACACCCAAACTTTAGTCATGTGTGTGGCAGGGCAAAGAACTGACCAGTATTCAACTTACCCTTCAAAAATAAGTAAAATGTACAGACAACTTTAAAGCATCTTTTCAATTAAAAACTGAAGCCAACAATTTTCTCAGAACGCTATTTTGAAACTATAAGTTACTAGATACTGTATCTATTCTGTCAAAATTTAATTACTTGCCTATAAAGTACTGCGGGAAGTGTAGATGCCTTTTGTGTTCCTCCTTCCTTTTTACTTGGTTTCCTTTCCTTAGGAGCCCGTAAAATTGCTGGGATGTTCAGTTTCTATTGGATTTGAAGAAATGCAGTACACATGAGTCTCGACACTTTTAAAAAATATTTCTCTAATCTCAGTGCATGAAGAACAAGACATATAATGAGAGGAAAATTGCTTAGCTAACTATTTTACAGACTACACATTTATCCCAGTGTGATTCTGTAATATAAAGTAATCTTACAGTAATTTTTTCAATTCAATGAGAAAAATACAGAAAGACTAGCTTTCAGAATTTTTCTTCAAGCTTCCAATATATGGATGGACAGGGATGCATTTCTCCAGGAAGCTGAAACAAGCAAAGGCAGATACATGAAAATGACAGAATACTGAGGCAGTTTATTTTCCCCAGCATCACAGCTACACTAGTGCTCGACAGGTTAATTAGAAAAATTATCTTATTGGACCAAGCCCTTCACAAAGCAGACGAGACTCTCGTTGGGTTTCTACTATCTGCAGTATGCTGGCTTCTCAGACAGCAACCATCTATCAAAGTCATTTCCCAGCAGCCCCATGGGTCTGCATCTGTTCAACCAACTGGAAAAAAATGTCATGCAAGCTGTGTAAATGAATTCTACTCAGCTTTTATCCTTTTTTCAAATTGAGTAACATTTGCATCAGGATATATATTTGCGAATACTTACTCAAAGGAAGGAAAAATAATCTTGGTTTAAAACATACGTTATGCAAGAATTCTTCTTTGCAAGTAGGGGAGGTAGGCAGACAAATGGAACTAATAAAAGGTTGCATATCTTAGGAACTACTACTGCATAAAGAAAGTGTAAGGTTCCTTTTTTGAACAGCAACACAAGCAGCAACAAATGGCATGCCAAAATTGCGAATAACTGTGTGTCTGCATTTCCACAGTGAACAGTTTCTTCAATCTCAAATCGTAACTGGAAATCATTGCAATCTCCCTCTCACATCAAAATGTCCATTGACATTTAATACCTCTGACATAAAACATATATGAAAACACTGCAAAAATCTTCTCTTTTTTCCTGTATTGACAGGAAAAACGCTAATTGCTTACAACAAGAAGTAACCCAAAACTTCTGTTGTCCGAGATATTTATATTCATCTGATCAAAATATTCTCCTCTGTCTAATTACACACCATTATGCACATACTGCATTTAAAATTATTTTTATCTCATAAAAGCCATAAAGAGTTAACTTATCATTTGAAGCCTACAGTAACTAAAGACAACTGGAGACAAAAACAGTAGGATTAACTCATGCTTCATGCTAAGGTTCATCAGAAATGACAGGTCAATCACTTATACCAAATGAAAGAGTTTTGCAAACAAGCACACTGTTAAAACAACAAAATTAAGCTACACGTTCCCAGTAGGCGGTTTGCAAAAGTCTAGGTACTTCAATCAGGAAACATTATCCCCTGAGTAAAGTCTGGGTATGATCAAATTAAATAAATTTATTCAGCCATAGAAGTAGCAGACAGAAACAAAAAGGTCTATTCTTAGAAAAGCTTTTCTGCTGTTTTCTTCTGTAAAAAGGGGCAAGGACCAACCAACCTGTCCAATGATTCTACCCAGCAGAGCCCAAATGCCTTGCCCTTCATTTCGCAGTTTTCCATTCATATTTTGTAGCTCTTCTAAGGACTCACACAGCTGAAAAGTTAAAGGAAAAAAAAAAATAGGCAACAGGAATGAAAATCCATTTAGAATTACTAAATAAAATTTACACAACCTCTTACCAAGGGTGCATTAATTTATTGTGGGGTTAGAAAAACAATGAAACTTATATCAATATAGCTGAGATTAGTACAACCATTCAATAATTTAACAGAAGTGAAACAAAAAACCTAGAGCAACCACTTTATTTTGTAAAGACCTGAAGTATTTCAGCATGGAAATAAAGTTTCATGAAGTCAAATGGAAAGGAAAACTAATATACAGCAATACATCTTTTATGTGCTGTACACACTACTTATACAGCAAGATTATAACAAGTGAACATATAAATGAATTAAAACTCTCTTTTGCCACACTCATAGAAAAGGAAAATTTAAAATTAAAGGCCACAAGCAAAAAAAAAGAGGTTTTTTTTCTTCTGGAAGTAACTCTTAGGCTGTGTATTTTGAGAGGTAACTATTAATTTGGTTAAAAGCCTTAGGCACAACTTCCTTTCTCTTTATCATGTCTGGGCAGTTCACAAGGATCTGCTGCTACATTTTCCATATGTTCTCACTTAAAGCACACACCAAACAGTTTAGGAATTAATAGCAACACAATATTTTGTCGTCATTAACTATCACTTAGTGGACTGCTGAATTCAGCAAGAATTGCACCATGCCATCTGTCACAAAAGGTACAGTATATCTATTTTTCAAAATAACTGAATATTAAAATGAATATTTATTTCGTAAAAATGCAAAAACCTCTTTTTTAACCATAATGATGAGTTATTAAAAAATTCCATTAGCAAAATTTTGGGGGAGCAAAGCCATGATTTATGGGCATCAAATTTGTTATACACTAAAAAGCATGCAGAGGACACTGTGGAGGTGTCTGAATACTGATTATTTCTGTCTGAAAAATTAGTCAAGTCATTAAACCTAAGCCCAACTGGAGTTCTAGTTGACATAAATAAATAAATAAATAAATAACACCCTTGAGTATTGTAGATTGCCAGTTATCAAGCTGAGCTCCAAGCAGAGAATCCTGCAGGTTCAAACAGGTCCATGTGCAATTTGTTACTGGAGCTCTCAGTAGGGTCAGTTAAAGAACTTGTGTGCAGTCAACACATCACATTTTAGAAATTGATATTACTTGTATGGGAGAAGACAGACTACTGAATATTTTTAAAAGAAGAAATATGCTTTTATATATTACTTTTAAAATATCAATAGCTTGCATCTTTCATTTTCATCTGAATTTTTTTCCATGGAAAGAAAAATTCTATCAAAGTTAATAGCATCAATACTAAAATATTACAAGCATGTATCAGCCCTTTTTCTTCACCTTATTATACTCCACATGAAGCTTTTCTTGCTCATTTTCTAACTTATCCTTGATATTCTTCTGTTCAGCCATGTTCTCCTGGATTTGAATCATGCGCATATTTCTCTCTATTTAAAAGAAAACTGCATTATTTCCCACTCTTGAACACTCATTTTCAAGTTTTATGCACTATAAAAAAAGTGAAGCGATCTAAAGTAAAAAAAACTGTAACAATACAAAGACACAAAACTATAGGTACAAACTGAGTAGAATGAGAAGTCATAACATTTGTATTTTGCTGCATAAATATTGTGATTGCTTAAATGATGAACTTTGATCAGGACCTAGCAAACACTCAAAAAGTCATGCTATTCCACACAGAAATGGAGGATAATTTAAGGAAGAAATATTAAATCAAAATTACCTACTCACTTCTTAATGACAGTTCAATCTGTTTATATTTCAAAGATTTTATTCTTTTCTGAAGTGTCTTTAAAAAAAAACTTTCTGTGTAAACAGAGACTCCAAGCAATAATATACCTGACCTTAAATGAAGTCATAATCCACATTTATCTACTATAAACAATTAAATACATCCAAAATAAAAAAAACAATGAAATAGCATAGCACAATGCAGCAAAGTGGTACCTTTCATGGAGAAAAATAAGCCATTTTCTCCCTTACCAAGGTAATAATTCACAAAGTCAGCGGTGAGAGCTGGTTGTTTATGTTTTCTTCTTCCATCAACACTGGAACTCGTATCTGAAGTATCCACTGGAAAAATGTCCGTGCTAATTCCCATCAACTCGGCTTTGCGCATGAGCTTCCGTATGGCTGAAGCGCTGCTCGTGAGCGGCCGGGGCAGCTTCTCCCTGGGAACCCAGGCCTGGGGCCTGGTGGTGCGCGCCAGCTCCGCCTTGGCACGATACTGCTGGAGCCTGGCATTGATTCGAGCCTGCAACGGAGGATTCCACAAATTAAAAACATCAAGGAACCATTTAGAATTAGCTCCCAGTTATAATTTGGAACACATCCGCGTTTTATTTCCATTTTAAAAGCTGCACAATCTAATCAGTGCCATTTTCACTCCAGAACCTCACAACTCAAGAAACAGATGTTGATACAGAATTCCATTTTACTTCAGTGCACACACAAATGACATTATCCTTTCACTAGGTTTTGGAGCTATGCACACATTTCTTGATGAGATTTCCCCATTCATGAAAGCAACAGATGACTTCTGGCTTTGAAACAAGCCCTTCTCATAATGAAAATTTGATGGGACTCTGAAAACTCAGTACTGGTCGAAGCTCTGGTCGACCTACCACATATGCATTTAGATACACATTAAATTGGTATTTCTGTCAGCAACAAAAGCTGATGAAGAGCATTTTTACCATATTTGACATACTTTTGTAGGAACTCCTTTCTCAGTGCCACTTCTCTTTATAAATGTTAAACTTGCTGATTATAATTTGTCAAAAACACTACCCAAACAGAAGTGAAGCAGACAAGAGAAGCTCACAATATATATTGTTGATGACATCTGTATATTTGTGACCATCTGGGAGATCCACCCCAGAAGATCAAGCTTTTACTGACAGCTGGAAAACACTGTCTTGAGGGAACTCTGTGAAGTGGCAATTCTGGCAGAAACTGACATCAACATACAAACCTTCAGAGGCAAAACTCCAGCTGACTATCAGTTAGAAGCTGTTTACTTGCCTGCACAAAGAAGAAACTAAACTAATGTGACTGCCCCACCATATGGTGTAAGATACTCCTGAGACAAAAGCAAAAGGTGTGCGTATACGTGCACACTATGGCTAAGGAACATCTCTGATTTCAAACAGAATCACTGAAGGTAGTACTGCATACAGTTTAACACATTACCTTACTAAGTCTTGAACATTAATGACCAAGAAACAAAGCAAATTCAGCTTACAGGTCAGCTCTGACCTCAATGGCTTTTTTCTTGGACCCACAGCAGCAGGCAACAGGTCCACCTACAGCCACTGCTGCACTATACCAAAGTCACCAACAATAAAAACATGTAGTTGTACAAAATGGATGCAAGTTATCATACTTGCATTAAGATGCCTATGACACTATGTCAAGTAACTCCACCTGCAGTTTTCAGCAGTCATTCCTTCAGTTTCCAAAAATTTAATCTAAATAATTTAAATTAAAAACTGCAGGTTCTAGGTTTGGGGAAAAGAGGAGAGAGAAAGGGAAATGCTGGGAATTGATCAGCATTATCAGCACTGCATAATACATGTCTGAAAACAGAGCTAATAAGCCCTGCTGGATCCAAACTGATATTGCACAACCAGCACTTACCATTATATTGGACAGTATTCATATTATTGTAATGTCTCCACCACACAGGTGCATTTCACATAACTGAGAGTTGAGTATATTCAGCAAGAATTATGAAACCAGTTTTAAATCAAACTACATGAAGCTTAGTATCCAAAAAAATATTTTATTCAAAATCCTTCTATGGTATGAGTTTGCTCATGCTCATTCTCAACAGCATAGGTCATTCTAAATTAATATTCTCCTATTCAAAGATCTCTGAAGAACTGGAAAGACAAGATTCTTTTAAATAAAAAGTTTGATAATATGAAACAATATTTTCTTATCATTACACTACAATTCTCACTTAGGAAAAAAAGCAAATAGTCCTCTCCCATAAATTATTTCCATTATTTGCAACATCTGCTACTTTCTACAAATAAATTAGGCAGGTTTCGTTTAGGTAACAAGCTGCTTTTCTGCACAAGTGTGATTTTTTCCATGGAATGCAGTTCAGTCTAAGTAGTGAAGCAAACTATGCTAGAAAATCCTCAGAATCAGAAAAAAAAAAAAGACACACACTGAAACATGAAAGTATGCAGACTCCCTCAGAGGAATTGAAGCCTTTGTATCAACAGGACATTTATCAGTTGAGCTTCTGCAGTAACTAACTGTTTTAAATGGATCTGTCACTAGACAGGGATATAGACTTGCCTAAGGCTTTCAGACAACTCCCACACAGTAGCAGAGACTCACTGCTTTGCATGAATTATTTTTTTTCCCCTAGGAAATCTTTACTATGAAAACACCTAGCACACAGAATTTCACTTAGACCTACAAAATTTGAAATCTAGACAGAAATAGAAATATGCCTAATTTTTTGTGACTTTTTTCTTCAGAATCTTGAAGAAAATGTGAACTAAAATCTATGAATTACAATGAAAAAGTAATTACCAACTTTCTACCTCAAAACCAAAGTAATATTTTTCAATTCACACAAGCACAGATATTTGATATTTATTGAAATAGATATGTAATATATATGAGATATAACTATATCATATATAAAGAGAATTGTCCTTAAAGACCAAACCTATAAATAGTTCAGTGTGCTGTTAAATGACAATGCACTATCAATATATTCCACATTTTCATTCTCTACTATAATAACATTTTTACTTTCTCTTAATTTGTCTTGTTTAACATGGATGATTAATACACAGGCATCTGTGTCACAAATACAATACCTGAGCTTCTGGTGAAAGCTGTTTTTCTCTTTCCTGCAAGGACATTTTACAGTAAGATTGTAAAGCCAAGTAGTTCTTCCGCTTCCATTTTCTGTCTAACCTGTCTGCATGCTGTTTACAATAAGCAAAAAAAGGGTCAGCTATATCCTGTTTCAGAAAAAAACAAAGGGGAAGGAACAAAAATAAAGTGAGACAAAGTAAGGCCAAAGGGCTCTGAACAGCACAAACATTCTGGCAATCAGTTCACATGTTTGAATGGGAATGTTTTCAAAATCAAGTAAAAAGTATGTTTCTAAATCAATTTTGTCATGTTGATGTAATTTACAATATAAGGTGTTTTTCCATTGTTTTCATTGCATAATCCTAAACATTTTTAAATGCATTAAGGATTTAACTCTCTACTAGTCAATCTCAGTACTGTATTTACATTCCCAATAAAAAAATCCCAGCAAAATAAATTCCTAAGTACAAATCCCTTTGACATATAACATGTATTAATTTCCTGTTGATTAACTGTGCCTTGTAAATTAAATCCTACCTAATAATGCTGAATACTATCAACGGCAATATATTTGGTTTCTCCAACCATTTTGGTGGCTGTACCCTCACATGATTTATCATCTCTAGGATGATTTTTTTTCCCATTTTTCATTCCACCATATCTGCACACAGTCATGGCTAGGTTTATAGAAACTTTTAGTACCCGTAAACCTTGCAAGCAGACTACCAATATCTGAGCCATGAGGAGACATGGTTTGAGAAACACATTTTGTTGCCTTTGTATTTTCAAAAGTGTATCAACAACATCATAAATCTATAGACTAAGAAAAACTTAAAGCAGTCTTCCTTCATCTAGTAATACAAACATTAATAAATTACCTGCCTATCAAATTTCCCTTTATTCCACTCATAAAACATAAAATAATAAAATTTACTCTGACTTTCCTTATAAGCACATTTTATGTTAATTTAGATTTTCACAGTATGTGACAGCTTACTTCAAAAATTAGCTGTGCCCTAAAATGAGATTGTGTGAGACCCTGATTAAAAATTTGACTGAAGAAAACATGTAACAAAATTTTAAGGTGGAAAGGCCAGCAGATACATATGTCCAGAGGGAATTCACATAGGGCTTTTAAAAACTCAACCTTACACATAGTCTATTCAGGACAACAACGAGACAACGTGTTATCTTCCTATTTATTGGTCCAACAGAAGTATTTTGTGATTCCTTTATGAATCCCTTGTTGGTCCATTGTTTTCAGAAACAAAAGTGTCAAGATCAACAGTGAAAGTAATGCTAGTTTTTGTGTTACCTGTGCTACTTCCTAAGGCAAAAAGCTAAACTGTGAAGCTATGAACGTGACTGGCTTAATCCAAATGATATGTATCAGGATGAAACTGGACAACCTAAAAGTACTTATACCATAAAAATTAATTGGGAAGTAGTAACTTCAAATCTGAATTGCTATAGATCATATTAAAAGGGAAAAACTGTTAAGATATTAAGAAGTTATCAGGAGGTTATAAATACTTGCTTTTCATTCTGATTCCGAAGATTAACGTTACCACAAGGAAAGTCATATCTATGTACCACAAATTGAAGTAAATACTGGAAAACATGCATGAAAAACTGGCATCAGAAATGTCTTTAATTTCTCAAGTCTCCTATTTAGTATGAAACAGAGATTATTGTACTATTAAAGTAGTAGCTAGAGAAGTATGTCACCCTATGTGAAGTTCAGGAACTAGAGATAGAATTCCTGTCTGTATTGACTGACACTCTATTAAGCCAACTTCTGTGTTAACTTTTTCTACCCTTTTTTCCAGTCAGTTTCAAAAGATGCTCAGTTGGACAGTTTGGTGAAGGGCTCTACCTGTACAGCTCCTTTACCCAGCCTAGTCCTTGTTATCTACTTAAAAAAAACTTTGTTCAGGACCTGTGAATAAAAAAGCTACCATTTCAGGTCATCTCCATAAGCTTTCAACAGAGGTTCAGTTTTATTCTATCCTTTCCATAGCTACCTCTTCTGCTGCTGCTTCTGAGAGGAGGCCTTCCTTCTGAGCACAGGTCACATGGAAATAAGCTCTGCACATCCCAGCATCACAACTAATGCATACACCAGTTCTGGCAAAACGAGGATCTTCACAAAAGCTGCACTCCTTTATAAAAGAAGAATGGAAAATGTTACAGTAAATATTTCAGGTGCATTTTGCCTAATATTTGATAATTTATGTCATATATATAAAAACCAAACTGGTAGGTTATTCCTGCGTGGTACAGAAACCAAGTATGTTCCCAATGGCTGACATTACTTAAAGCTTCCTGTTTTCTCAACTCCCACTATTAATTTCATTTTCAACAATGGTAAAGTGCTTAAACAATCTAAACAGCATTTTGGGTGGATTTTTATATGAACCTCCAAGTACTGCATTTCCCTTCAGTGAAAGAACTAAATACCATTCAAGCAATTCAAGCACAATTAGTAGTGTAAGTATGGCATAGAAAAAAACACCACTCCTCAGCAAACGTTCAACAAGTTCAGAGGACAAACAAAAAAGAGCAGTGCTCTGAATGACTGAAAACCATAGATAATTATGTACATGTCTTTCGATAAGCAATGACTGAGGAGTAAACATGACAGTGCAGAAGCAAATACTCAAAAATCATAAACATCAGTAAGGAAGGTCACGATTAACTTAGTTAAGGAACTATGGCTTCAGATATGTACATTCTAGGCACAGTCACCTGCAAAACAACAAACTTACAACTCCTCATATGACCTGGAAAAAAACACTTAACTTATTTTTCAGTCAGATCAATTCCTCAGTCTGTTTCACCACAATTTCAAACCAAATTCCTGTGCCAGCAATCTAGAGCAATGAGCACAAAAGCAGGAAATGGGAACATGCGCTGCTTAAACAGTGCTGCTATCCGCAGCATAAAGATGACCTAAAATTATACATTTCCTGGACTCCTTCTTGCTTAATAGAGAGCAAAGCTGTCTAACACCTAGAGAAAATATCTCCATGCAGAAAGTTAAACAACAGAATGGAATGGTAAGGAAAACTCAGTGACTGAAGAATCTCAAGACATTACCTATGCTACACTAGAAGGGCACCGTTTAACTGTGTAGCTGCATCACCTAACAGGTAAGAAATTAAATGAAAAAACCTATTGCATTAAGCTAGTTTTGCAAGGGGGAATGTGCAAAATAAGCTGTAACTTCCACACTTCATACAGCAAACAGCATTTACAGCTTTGCAACAGTATGAGTCTTTTCCACCTGTACTGTTCACTTTCACCTTACTCACAGCAAGAAAAGAAGCCCAAATTCTTTACCCTACTCCTATACATCATTCATGTTTTTTAAAAAAAGAGCATGATTCATTTCAACAACAGTTTGTAGGGTCTGGTGTGCTTGCTCCCTTTTTATACAAACATTTCTAAACAAGGCTAAATCCCTCAGCAGGCCCAGGCTCCTGATACAGGTATGCTGTACATGGGCAATCCAAAGTGTTTTAATCTGCTTTATATATTTATTTATGCATTTTTAAAACTGCACGTATTTTTATTTAGTATTCAATTTAACAAACTGACATTAAAGAAAACAGAAGTGACTCAGCAGAAATGATGCTTTAGAGCTGCAGACTTAGAACCTTCCCTCACAGCCTGACAGACATGGCTTCTCCACACTGTCTCCATTTGTAAATACTAACAATATTTACCAAACTAATGAGTGCTGTCCTCTGTCCACTGCAATGGTTTCCTGTAAGGTTTGTTCATGATTACTTTTCATCAGGACTCAAAACATTTACATCCAAAACACTTTTAACTCTAGAACTATTTTTCAGTTCAAGTTGAGGGTCCTGTGCTCCTGTGGATTTTTGTAAACATTGTTTTGGAACAGCCTGTTCTATGCATATTAACTTACATCCAAACTCAAAAGTAATTCTTACTAATTTACATCTGCCCCTCTTTTAATCAAATTAACCTCCCATTTCTCATCTTACAAATTATCCTTGCTTTCCATTCACATTTCGTCAATCTGCCACTGACTTCAAAAGAAATTAGCACCTCTGTAAAAAATCAGGGAAACTGGGCAAAAATAGTGACAGAAATTATGGAGAACAGTGGTAAGGGAATAGATAGAAAGATAGAGGGAAGAGCAGGTAGGCTGTAGGTATAACAACCATTAACAAATTTTATCTCATTTTTAGTCCTGAACCTCACTACAAAATTGCTATAAAAAAGAAAAATAAAGTTGGAAAGATGCATTTTAGTCTATTACATGCAAAAACATAAAATACAGCTACTCCTTGCCACTACATCTCTTCAAAACTTACCTTTGCACCATACTTGGAGTAATTCATTTCTGTTAGTGTTACTGGCCGCAGCTTGTCAATATCTCCAAATGCCACTCCTGGAACATAGAGGGCACAAACAATGTGGACCCACCTAAAACAGCGAACAAAATTAGGTTACTGTTATCAGTATTTTGATCCTATATTATACTCACAGTTTTGAGATTTCAAAGTCCCTTGTACATGCTGCAGATGCTAGCTGGAAGACTTGAAGGAAAGCACATTAAAAGCAGGCGTGGAGCACCCGTTGGGAATTCAGGAGCTCAGACACTAAGCCATAGAGTAAGGTCCTTCAGAGGCACTGGGATTGCTTTGCCTGTCTGGATCAAGGACTGGGCTACCATCACCTTCATGTTCTGACGGCTCTCACAAGAGCTGCACACACTTTTCAAGGAATATGAAAGGTGTTCAGAAGATTTTGATATTACTTACAAAGCTAAAGCAGACAGATATTTTCATGATGTGGTGGGGGGTAGGAAGGGAAAGAACAAAATTATACAGGTAGTCACAGCAACACTGAGCTCGAGCATATCGCTATGCAGCACTTACAACACAGCATCAGTCAGACACTGCACTGTTAGTTACACCTATTAGTATCACCAAAACTATCTAGTTTTAACCAGTGCAGAGAGGACTTGCATTCAGGAACAAACACGTCTGGGTAGTATAAAACAAAGGCCTATCTGAAACTCGGATAAATAGACTGTTACTTAGTTGTTCCCTTCTTTACTGGCCATAAAATTACTAGAGTAAGAAGTCTAAATCTTCAGCCCTGAGGGGCAGAAAATGAATCTGGTCCCTAGTGTATAGTAATCAAATGCCACACAGTGGTAAAGGCTTCAGCCTCAACACTGCTCTTGACAGGCATCTTCCTAACCTCCTGAAGCTCTCAGCTACTCAAAAACAGCCTTGCAACAGAAGACAGATTTTTCTCGTCTTCTTCCTCTTCTTACATTGTTCTCATAATGAATTTACTAAAAGATCCAGCTCTCACTGTCACAAACCATCAGTTACTGACAAACTCAAAACCTGTTCTGCATAGCATGCACGGCTCAAATTAACTGAGATAAACTACTGCAAATAATCTTACTGTTTTATCAAAATTCAGGAAGTATTTGCTACTCCTTGCTAAGTCACCAGGTGGAGAAAACCATGTCAGAGGGCCAAGATTGCTGGTTTTTTGTTATTTTAAGATATTCAATAAAATGGCCTTTCAATTGCAGAGACTGTAGCTAACACTTTGAACCTATAAAGTCCCACATGATATATAATACAAGAAGAGACTTCAGACATAACTGAGCTGAAATATCCTGTTTGAGCCTCAGCAAGTGTGTTAATTCAGCACTTTACAATCTTCCCAGTCATTACTGTTTAACAGTAAATGTATCACTAGTGAAGACTAAAACTCTCTTCTGTTCTAATCAAATAATAGAATCTACTCCTTGTATTCAAGAAGACTCATGATGATGTGAGAAACACTTCTTCCCTTGTCTCTTTTACCAGGGATTCAGTACAGACTTGTTATCACCTGCTTAAATCCAAATCCATACCGCTGTGCCCTTTTTTCCCATCTTCTACCATTGTTTAGCCTAACTCTTCTCTCTCCTCTTTCCTTTGTACATCAATTTAAAAAAACTGATTTTAAAAAATTCAGTTATACCAGAGCAATAACATCCTGGGTTTAAGTGCACTTAAAACAGCTTCTGTTATTAACTAGCTGCTTAGAGATGAGAGAAATACTGAAGTTTATGGTTATACTATTGAGGAGCTCCATGTAGCCCTCGTTTCCCAAAGCAGCACACTTCTCATCAATGGTCCTTAAACCTACAATACTGGAATTTTTAACACTCATATTAATCAGGTTTCATGTTATTTATGAATCATATATCACAAAAGAAATTCTGAAAAAGCAAAATATGAAAGGTTCAGTAGCAAGCTCAAAAATTCATCTATATTTCAGTCTTTACAAAAAAAAACCCAATGATCTTCCAATGCACAGAAGTGGTGGACAGACTATTTACTCACCATTTTCCCCCAAAACAGTCAAAGATATTAACTGAATAACAGAAAAATCCCAGTAACAGTAAGAAAGTACTTAAAAGCCATTAAATTGCTTCCCTCTGTAAGAAATTTTGTAAGAATTTTTCCAGTAAATTGAAGAAGCCACAACACTGACTGATCCATTATATCATGTCTAACAAGACTCTTCACTTGTATACTGAAAACAATTATTTATTAATATTATTTATTATTATTAATTCTATGGTTAAATCACTCAGGTTTGGGATGCTAAGTAGCAAATTCCTTTTAAAACATATAAACTTAAAACAATGAGAAAAACATATATCCCAAATACACATTTTTATGTAAGAACTGCACTGTTTTGCTCCACAAATTTTACTAGTGTTCTTCACAGCCACAAAATCATTTGGTCACAGCACTGTAACTACAGGAAGATGCAAAGAAAATTTAAAGATGAGTTACAACCTTGTCTTTAAACAATGTAGTACATATATGATGGCTTGCTAGCTACCAGAGAACAAGATGAGATACTCAAGTGTTCTGCCAAACTTCTTGCTGCTCAGAAAGGGAGTAAACCTCATCCCTGGTTTTATTACAGAATAAGCACTCCAGCATGCCAGCACAACAATACAATGTTATATGGAAAAAAATTCTTCTCATTAGTATATAAGAAGTGAAGCTGTCTGACTCCCCACAAAACCAGTGGAGGTACAACATATCCCTGCAGGGGAGCAGTGGAGCACTGGGTACCACCTCTCCCCTTCCATGCTCTATCCAGGAGTGGCATTAGCTTGGCCTAAATCACTACCATGCTTCTATGAAATGTTCCCCTATTAAAGAAAGCATATGTATGTGCTTAAATGTATATTTTAGTAAGGATTATGATTTATTAAAGTAAATATCTCATTGACATGAGCATATTGTACTTATTTTCAAAAGGAAATTAAAAAAAAAAATAAAAGCAAAATACGACACACAGAATGAGACCAGTAACCTTGAGATAAACAGACTTCTTGTTTGTAAATAAAAAATATCTGAATTCTGTAGGGCTTCTTTTCTATACTCTTCTTTCAATTTAAGGTGTGTAATACAGAACAAATCTTTATAAACAGAAGTTAAATATCTCCACAATTATTATTCTTAACAAAAACCCAAGGTTCTGGTTGGAGATTTTTGATAATAAATTTTAATACAGACTACTAAACATACTCTCTGAAGTTCAATATAAAGATACACATCTTCTACAAGCAGCTGCTTTCTCAATTTAATTTGCACAGTTTTTTCATGCTCCACTGGTGTATTTAATGCTGCTGCACTCTGTAGGAGTTTATCTATGATAAACCCAACAGCTGGCTGCTTGCTTCATACTGACCTTCTCGAAATGTTTCAGTACATGTCACCCAAGTATTGCAGTATTACAGATTTAAACTGCCATTTCTGTGTGATTGGCACACAAGTGCCTCATTTCCTTAACCACCTATATGTGAACTCAGACCTGAATCTTTATTAAAAAACATACACAAGTCAGTCAAGTTCACAGCTGAAGCAGCTTCAGCTGCTTTTAATACCAGTTCTAAATATTTTCCTGCTCATTTATTTAGCTGCACATGTTTTAGAAGCTTGTAATTAAGACAAATTGGGTAATCAAAGAAGAATAATCTTCCTTGTTACTTTACCATCCATTTAGCTTGGAGCAATGATGACAGATGTTGATTAGGAAGGAAGAAAAACTCCATACTGAAACAAGGACAGAATTTATATTTTTGGATAATAGCATTTTGAGAAGTAAAATTTAATAAATTTACATTTATACTTGTGAAACTGAGAAATTAATGTGAAAAAGCTTCTGCTGAGAAATTAAGCACCTCATTATTATAACAATTCACCTTTCATGTAAAAGGAGAGAAATTATTCCAATTTGATTATGAATAAAAACTGACTAGGTTTGGTTTGTGTAATTTTCAGCACTGATGTATATGATGAATTTATTTTTAAAAGGTGGTAAGAAGATGAAGAGCAATGGTGAGTTAAAGGAATCTATTACTCAGTAATCTCTTCCTGCTAACACATCAAGAAAAGCACTGAACTGGATTACAGTTAACTGATTACAATGGAAACATAATGGACACTGCCCCAAGACCCTACCCCTAGTCTATAGTGCCCCCCTACCCTTGACAATTCAAATTTATAAACACATAATAAAATGATAGCAGAGGAATTTTCACATATTGATAATGTGAACTAGTAAATAGCATTTTTTTTTTCCTACATATCTTCTTCATATGAGAGAATAAACTTATCCAGGATAGTAATATCACATTATCCAGCAAATAAAGATACAATAACAATTTGTGTTAAGTGTCAAATTGTTAAATTGTTAAAAAAATATTGTGATAACACCTACTGTCAACAAGGCAGGCACATGCTTCTGCATAGACAGCCAAAGAAAATACTTCCAGGTTAACTAAAAGCATACCACCACTTTACAAGACAAAATTTAAGCAATTATTAAAATGCTGACTATATTTTCTACTAGGATAATATGGAAAGTCATATATATAGGGCTTAAATTGTTTGCAGAACACAGGAATAAAAAGGTTGAAATAAAATTTGCCAAGTGTTATCAAGTCTCACATTTCCTGTTACACAATTGACTTACAGTCTTTAAAAGTAATTTTCTTGCATATAGAAGCATTATTATTAATACAGAAAACAACTGGAAAAGCACAATTTGCTTAGTTATATAAAAGCTTTATAAGGAAGATGCACATACACTCTTGAACCTACTACAGACCAGAAACAAGGATCTGAACCCTAAAAGTACTATAAAAGCACTACTACCTCCAAGGTTCAAAATTATTCACTATAAACCTTGACTCATTTGTGTAACTTTTTTTTAAAAACTTATGAAAAGCCCAGCACCTGAAAACTTTGCTTATTACCACAAACCTGCAATTTATACAACCATAAATTGTATGGGGAAAACCTTAATTTTCAAAGTCTATTAATAATAAAACAAAAAAAAAGGACCAAACAAAACTATGAAACCATGAAGTAAAACCTCATGACATTAAACATAAATCACACGTCACTGATAATGCAGCTTTTGCCTCTAGTACAGATAATTAGTTATTAATAATATGTACATCTTAATAAGCAGATTAATTCCCATGATGCCTTCAATTCCTGTCACACTGGAACATAAATTCTCAAATTAGACCCGAATTCAATTCTAAAAAGAAGCAAAGGATATTCTCAAAAATCAAGAATATAAACTTCATAATTCTAAATAATCATAATATACTAGGTCTGTCTGAATACCTTTAGCACACCTTCAATGTAATTTTGATATGCTGCTTTTTCCCATCACTGCCTGGCATCACTGATCCAGTCCTTTGCTCTAATAAAATAAAAACATGCAGTTTTCTTCCCACTTACATCCCACTTGAAAGTCAATAGACTTAAGCAGTCACTCTACAAGGTATAGGGAAAAAAAATCCAACCTTTTCAAGATTAGATGACATCAAATCATCACTTATTTATTCTTACCTGCCTGCATCAGTCTCCTTGAAGATCCCATCCTGGTTGGGACACAATTCACAGCTAGGTGTGACACCACATTTGCAGGCATCACAAAACCAAGGCTCTGTGGAATTTTCTGAAGCTGAACTCATGATAGAGTCACTCTCCCCATCAACACCATAGCAGCCTGTACACAGAACAAATGGAAGATCAATACAAGAAGAGAAAATTGCAGAAGTAGCCACTTGCCAGTTATGACTTCAGAGGGAAACATACACACACATTCACGGGAACAATTTGACAAATACTGAGATACTCAAAGTTTACAACATTTTTGAAACTATTATGGTTAGTGCAAAATTTACTTTGTAGAGCCAATTTAATTCTAGAAATTCACCTGTTTTTCATGATTGTATTAGATTACAACTGAAAAACAAGAAGAAAAGGTTTTTTTACTTTATTCTTCTAGCCACACGTGGTGCTCTTTCAGACTATCCATTAGGAAGAAAAGTAAGAAAACAAAACTTGAAGCAACCAAAGATGAAAAAAAACTCAATGCATTTTTTTAGTAAAGAAATGTATTTCAAGATAAAAGCAACAAGTTTTTCTCCCTGAAAATTAACATTTTTTGGAGGAAAGTGAAGAATGTTTGGGTTTTCTTCTAGAGGTTCATTATGTCAGTAAAATCCAGTCAACAAACATGCATTCCACTTTCCATTCAGCGTGCAAATCAGCTACAAAAGAATACACATGAAATAAAAAACACTATTTACCTACTTTATGAGTTGTAGGACTGCCTTAAGGAGCCTTGTGCAACTTCAAAACCAAACTAATGTTTGTGGAGCACAAACTGATAATTCTGAGACACCACACTGGTGACTGATGAAACATATATATATATATATGTATTTTAAGCATTCTCATTTGTACCTGGTTTTAAATTATGGCTAGGCTCTACCATTCATTCAGTTTCTCCATTCCTCTTCAGTACAACGAGGGTATTATTTATGATTGCTAAGGTGCCTATGTATGCTTTACTACCACAAATTTAGGAAAACTGTCTTTAAAGTGATTTGTTATTTAAATTTTGCACAAGAGCAGGAGTTGCATTAGTACTACTGCAAATGATAAAAAGAAAAATACTAAATCACCACAAAACTGCTTTTTTTCATATCACACATTTTGAACATTTAGCTGCTATTCAATAAGAGCAAAAAAATTAATTGTCAACACTTAAAACACAGTAAAGACTTTACTAAAAAATTAAATTTAGCTATTTATCAAATGCAGCAATCAAGTCAAAATTTGTGCTTTCAGAGCAGTAAAATTACTCAATTCTGCAATTAAATAGCAAGATGATTTTTTTTCTTTGTTTCATTATCTGCTGGCTGTAATAAAATAGCAACAGTGCTCCAACTCCCCTTGTGACAGAAACAGAGATCTGCATAATACATTGAAACTACATTCAGCAAATAAGCAACACTGCAGAAACAGCTTAAGAAACTTAAGTCTTCCATTACAGAATGAGCTTCATCAGTAAGAATTAAAATAAGATGGCAGAGTGTTTCTTTTCCTAATAAAAAGTGTCCTAGAATGAAAGTGCAAGTAATGTGCAGAAGTGTGTTCACAGACAAATTTCATTAGGGATATACAAGACCAAATAGCTCATGCCTAGGGTCACTCCATCTTCTTTATAATGTGGTATCAGCTTTAAGCAACATTCCACAACGTAATTTTTTTAACTCTAACAAAACACAGTTTTGAATAGATGTCAGCAAATCTCCTTTTCAGCAGTAACACTAATGTGCAAACACATAGCTCAGAGCTGATGAGTCATTAACCTTTTAGTAATTCCTTCAGACGTCTAAACATATTAACATTTTCTTAAAAGTACTTACTAAAAATTTCTTACCATTACAAATGCAGTAATACTGTCCTCAATCCACATGGCAAAACAAAATCAGCTTCTTTCAAACACTGATGCTTCTTCACCAATTGAAAGCAATTAGAGTTGCTTTTCTAGCCTAAGTGCCATCAGTCTACTAAAATTAGAATGATGACTTCACCAAACTGTCTTACCTTCATTCTGAAATAGGTGCTTTATTATACTTATCAGTCATTTATACCTGATTGTTTTTTATCCTTCCTCCTAGAAAATGACATAAATGTGCTGCAATTATTTCCATACTTATCACGAGTGTTGGCATTAAACATTATTTCTATAACAATACAAATATATGTCCTTTTACAAAGGGGGGGGAAGTCCATATTTTTAACCCCATTTTTTTGCCCTAATTTTTATATAAATCTTAGTGACAGCTTTAAAGAGTTTAAGATCTCTGACAGATAAGGAGGCATTTACTCTTTTTACCAGCATTTAGCAAAAGCTAAACACCACACCTTTATAACCAGCAAAAGGAGTGGTCTTTAGCTGGAGAAAATAGACTAGATTACCATTAATCATTGCTAATAAAAACATCAAAACAACTTGGTCTGCCACAAAGCTGAAGAAAAGGAAACCCAGCCTATATGCTGCTGACCTGTACCCTGCCAAACAGAGCTGCTGAATCAAAGTTCCAATGCAAAACCTTGTTGGCACTGAACCCAGGGTTCAAATGAGATACTTTGTAATTGTTCTTGACAGCCTTGTTACAAGGGCCTTGTTACAAGGGCCAATTTCAGTATACTTAAAAGTCTAAATAAATCATAAATATAAATGAAATATATCATTTTAGGATCCTTATAGTATATATAAGTATATATAGTATAGTATAGTATAGTATAGTATAGTATAGTATAGTATAGTATAGTATAGTATAGCAAAGGTTCAACTTACTACTACCTGCCCTCTTTTGCTATGGCGAAAAAATTATTTTGTTCCAATTACCAAAAATTTTAAGAATTCATGATTTCAAAAGGCAAAAATATGCAGATACAAACCTGCTACTTGGTAAATCATTCCATCCTAGTATTAAGTGGCTACACTGAAGATCCATTTAAAGTTGCTCAGTCCAGCCATTCTGAATGAATCATTGGGAACTGCTGGTGTTGGAACAGAATGCAGTCTAAGGGCTCACTTAGTAAAAGCATCAGGAGGCAACCTTTATGTCCTCTCTAAAAGTATCCCAATTGCACAGACAGTGACTACTTCAGGCCTCACAGGAGAACAGGAGGAAGGATACAGAACCTGTAAAGGACATGTCTGGTTCCAAGTACTATCACTGCAGCTCTGACCTACTTGGCATTAAGTCAACCATCTTCCCCCTTGACTGGAAAATACACTAAAGAAAATAAAATAACTTTTAAACACTTTTCTTAAAATGCATGCTGTCTTTCCTTAACATTCACAAAAATACGGAAGACTGGGTCTTCAGAATACCCCTAAGAGCTATATTTGAACTTAAGTTCATTAAAACCTCATGTTTGTATGCTCTTAGATTACTGTATCATAATTCCATTTCTGACACCTCTTTTAACACCATTAACACTAAACAATAAAACCAGGTTAGTATAATACTGTCCTATGAATTTAAACACATGAAATTCAAGAAGGTAAAATTTTCACACCACTTTACTGTTCCATTAATGGCATCTATATATTAAAATTACAGCCAAGTTGTCTGCTGAATGTATGCCATTATATACAGAAAGCAAACATTTTTATTCCCTGATTTTTAAGTCATTTTACTCTGCCAATAGCTTATATTTTCATGTGATTGTCAATAAAAAGAAACTGCGCACACTTTAAAACAATACCATTAAAACAATTCTTCTGAAATTTATACCACTGAGAGAAACAGAGACCTAATTCTTGTCACAGCTGCAGTTGGTCCTCTGTTTCTCTGGGAAGGTAAGTTTTTGCCAAAGAGGATATCTGCATACACCAACTACATCTATATATACACTCTGAAACACAAACTATATGGTAAACAGTATGCTAGCAATATTAAATGTTGTGAGATCATAGTACTGAAATATATTTCACTCAATCCTTAATTGGACCAACAGTTTAAAATAAATACATTAATAATTTCATGCATCATAAATTCAGAACAGTATTTTTATTTAGTAAATGGAAGTACTAAAGTACATGATTTTGAAAAATGGATTTTTATACCAGACAGCAGCAGACCACAGTAAGGGGCAAAATTAAAATGCAATAGTGTTTTACTACACTGTTGAGCATATGGCAACTACACTATTGCTTTTAGCAAGAGAATTTTTAATTCTCTGACATACACATCGAAGTACAGTAAGAAACAAAGATAGGAGGTGAAAAATAAACTGCTCAAAAAATGCAGAACTTTTATTTAACTCACAGCAACTAACCCAAGGGCAACAACTGGCAAGCGTACTACCTACACGTGTGGCAAATGCTATGATGTGTGCCAGACATCTTCAGACACACTGCAATCAAGATGTCAAAAAAACTGACAACACAGTTGGGGGTGTCCTACTATTACAAGATCTTAGAACAAACACATTTATCCAAAATGACAGATTGGTGTCTAAAGAAGATTTTTATAAAAAGAAATGACAATTATCTTCATACAGAAGTAAAAATTCTGAAAAGCTACTGCATAAATTCAGTAAGAAAGATTTTTTTCCCCTTTTTTTTAGTGGGGAGAGGGAGGATATGACAAGGATAGGCTGATACATGAAATGAGAACACATTTTTAATTGATGGACTTATGAATTAACCACAGGCTTTTCAAACTAACAGATGAATGCATTGGATAAGAATGGGTATGAAATTATCATTACACTTATGCTACTTATGCAGTTTTAAAGGCAGCTAAAATTCAAACCAGTTATTTACTCCACTAAGCATAGATTTTTGGGTACATGTCTGCAGCACAAAGACAGCTTTTGGAAAACTGATGCAGGCCATGCAGGTGATATGAACACAAAATAAACAGTTGTATTAGAAAGTGAACTGAATTTCTCACAATCCTCTTCAGTAAGTCAAGTAAATGTATTTATTAAGGGTCCATGATTTTTGGTCTGAACAAAAATTCCCCTCCAACTCCTGGCCATGTTGCTGCTTCCATATGAGCTCTGACAGAGTTGTTCCCAGATGAGTTGTTATGGTGGTTTTCCCAGGGAAGACCTTATGTAACAGCTCATTAATGCAAACAAGCAATCCAACAGGAATACAAGTCACAACTGAACAGGCAGCTGCTGCACCAGGTCCTCAAAAGGATAAGGTGGTAGCACCAAATACCAAGAAAGGAGCCCTGGTGTCCAGAAGTAGATTTGACTCAGAGCTATTTTCTCAGCTAATGAATAACTTCACATTGAAAGAGGTGGCTGTCATAGAGAAACCTCTTTCAGTCACCAGAAAGGTTCTGCGGTGGACAGAAACTTCCACACGAACAGAGCACCAAGGCATAAGTCAAGGGTATAAAACCCACTCCCTATGAAGCAGAACAGTTCTTGCAAGAGTCAACAAGGAGAAGAAGAAAATAAGGTCTTTGGGAGAAGAACAAATTGTCAATATCATACTTATGTGAGATCCTGGGTGGGACACCAGTAGGTTGTGAAAGGAGTGCACTCCTTCCACATAATTATTTACCATGCTACAGAGAAAACAGGCTCATTTGTAATACAACTTGAAACTGCACACAAAAACTATGGAGAAAATCCCTGTGGTATTCCACCAGCTTGCTTTAGGCATTTTAGAATAAATCACATTGCAAGAAATGGGCATATTACTCTTCCTGAATGCAGGTAAACATCACTGCATTGATTTCTATCCAATTCATAAATAGGAGACTCTTCATTCTATACCATGCTCTGAAAAACTCAAAAGCTCAAATATAAGAACAAATTTCTGGACACTGCATGATATCCACAGCCATAGCAATCTACCTGCTAAAAGAAACCTGAAAAAAATAAAAACAAATTCTTGGATTTCAATGTGTTTACAAAACACACTTGTTTAGTACTGGAAATTATTTTTCAAACTACCAAGAAGCTGTGTATAAGAGTACAAATAACTGTGAATACAGTCTATGTCTATGATCTGGGTATACATTTCCAAAGTACAGATCAAAGCCAATGATATTAAAAGTAAACCTTGCTTCTATTAACATTAAAAAATAGTTGTCAAGGTTTCAAGCCATGTTTGTATGATTACACAGTAATTACCTTTTCAACTACTTTTCAATCTAGTTTGGAGATCAGCTCAGTTGAATGATTAGGCAAACAGGGCCTAAAAGTAACTCTTGCACTGCATTTTGGTTGTGACTGCAACTTCTTAATTATGTATTTATGTATTTATGGCTGTCTTCATGTATTACTTGTGCATTCAGAAGTAAACAGTCAGTGACCACTGGGCAGGAGCACAGAAACCTCCAAGTCATTAAACATATGTGTATATATAAGATCACTGAATCAAACTAAAGCTTCAAAAGTTCCTGATTTTTTTTTTTTTTTTAACTGTTCTTCTTTTGGCTGGGGTGAAATTAATTTTCTTCACAGCAGCTAACATGTACCTATGTTTTGGATTTGTACTGAACACTGCAATGATAATGCAGAGATGTTTTTGCTATTGCTGACCCAGAGCCAAGGCCTCTTCTATTTCCCCTACTGACACAGCCAGGACAGCTGAGCCCAGCTGACCACAGCGATATTCCAGGCTGTATGACATCCTGCTTGGTATACAAAGTGAGGGGAAGGAGAAGGAAAGGGGGGATGTTGAGGGTGATGGCATTTGTCATCCCAAGTAATTGTTATGTGTGATGGAGCCCTGCTCTCCTCGAGATGGCTGACACCTGCCTGCTCACGGGATGCAGTGAATTAATTCCTCATTTTGTTTTGCTTGTGGGCATGGTTTTTGCAGTTTATTAAACTGTCTTTAAACTCAACTCACAAGTTTTCCAGCTTTTACACTTCCCATTCTTGCTGATCCTGCTGGTGTGGGAGTGAGTGAGTGGCTCTGTTTAGCTTGGTGGCTGACGGGTTTAAACACAACAGTAATATTTTTATTTGTTGCAAGCAATTATTTAAACAAATTACTGAAAAAAGCTTAGGTTTAAAACAGCACTTCCCCATACTTATCATTATACAGTCATCAATTACTTTCACATACACAATTTGCTTATTTTCCTCTAAGACTTCACCTATTCAAACAGAACTTCACAACTACTTCATATACACTTTCAAGTATTTGTTATTAAAATGAATTGCAAAGACCTAACTAAACATTCAAACACAAATGTGAAAAATTAACCAACACCTACAGTCAGTTATCTGATACACACTGTACAACTTATCAGAGCAAACTAACAAATTAAATATTTTTAATTACTCTATTTTATTTTCTTGCAATGACAACAAAAGAAACTTTTGATTTCACTGATACGAAGAGATTACACTCTTTGTATCAGTGGGACTACAGGGAATCTTACATGGAATGCTGTAAAAAGAATAGCAGCCATTACTTTTAAACAGACTTTGAACTACTAAAATTCAAGTGACTTTTGAACTATGCAACTACTTTCCTCTAGAGGAAAGCCAGCCATAGTCATACTTTTGTAAGGAAAGAAATTTAGTAAAATGAGGAACTGATCTTTTGGGGATTTTTAAAGTACTCCTCTTGAATAAAAACCAAATTTGCCATCATATCATTCTGAAGTGGCCGAGGATCATCTTTTTATCACAATCATTCTTCACTTTAGCAATCATTATAATCATTAAATAAATCTTAAGGAAGAACTTCCAGGGAGCTCCACAGCTTTAGAGTTTGGATGTATTGACTGGATGTAATGTTTGGGGAATTCAAGTATGCATTTATAACTATCAGCAAAAGACACTTTTTTGTTCCTCGTGTATTAATATTAGACAGTGCTAAAGGAAAAATAAGATCTATCACAATTCTACAAAACTAACATTTAGATGGTTACTGCATCTCAAATCAAATATATTCTGCACATTACTTTCCAAAAAACTTCATAGATAGAAAAGAAGGAATTCTGCAAGACACATAAATTTAGGAGTCTAACACTTCTAGAAGCCAGTAAGACCTGACTAATGCCCTCAAAGGCACTTGGAGTGTGATCCAGCTCATCATAAATTAGGTCAACTATTCTGCTCTCTAAGCAATGTTGACAGTACGGATTAGCTCTTTAAAAGACCACAACAGGTTCAAGAGTTAAAAGTACACATGGACACACAATGTAAGGCACATGAACAGCAGGACAGGAATTCCATCCTGAACAGCAGGACAGAAATTCCATCCTCGGTTTCCTAAGTGATGTCAAACAAAGAACTGAACTACATCCCAATGCATAAAAAATACTGTTTTGAAACAGTTTTCTATCTTGTATGAGAAAACTGAAGTGTAAGAGATTTATAAAAACACTTCCTACATAGAAAGACATTCTAAACACATTAAAAAAAAAAATTAAATTAAGGGAGTCACATTAAATAAATGCCTTGTACACTTGTGAAGAATGAAAGCCTATTTTCTTTTTATTTCAAGAACTGAAGTAGTTTAATCTCACTTTCCTGGGAAAACTTTTTAAAAAAAGGGGTTAAGTCCTAAAATAGTACAGGATATGAGTAAAAAAGCCCCAACCTGATTAATGAGAAAAAAAAGTTTTGTGTTTTAACAAAAGAGGTGTGCCTCTCTGTGTTAGTATATCCCCTGCCTTCCAATCTGCAGAGAAATAGCAGCAACACACAATACAATCTCATATTCCATGTAAAGTTGTTAAAATTCAATACATTCATCTAAATTATTATTCTGGAGTATTTCTTTAAAATCAGATTGCCTACATTTATTACACACACACAGAGTCCAGGTTTTGAAGGAAATCAGCAAAACTACAACTTGAGTGTATTCTAACTTAAAAGCTCCCCTGTTTTAAAATGTCAGTGAAAATTATGGGGAGGTTCAAGACTAGCTGTTTTCACTTATAAATAAATGCCATGGAGAATACCTCTTCCTCCCTTTCTCTCTGCTGCTTTGGTACTGCAAAAATATATGTGAAATAACCTTTCTTTTTAGAAGGCCTCCTGTTCTCATTATCTAATATCTCAATTATGCAATCAAACCCATATACTGAAATAGATAAAACACATTAATAGAATATCCTAAAGCACTGAAAATACAGTATATAGCTCAAATATTTGCAGACTGTCATTCATTCATCAGTATCAGTATCTGTACACTATGTCCCATCCCATTTTGTTCTTGTATTTGCTCTACCAAAGTAGAAGATGGGTGTTACACCACTAAAAAAGATCAATGCAGTATAACAAAAAAATATCACCCAGCACTGAAAGGTTTTGTTTGAAGAATGCAAGTCAAAATGTTATTAAAAGCAAAGCATATGCTTTCCTCCTGCAATGAGAATGAAGGGTTGTATTACCTTCATGCACTGTTATTCCACAGTTGTCACACTGGATTATTTCATCAGCATCTTCACTGTTATCTCCAAGACAAACGCAACAAATCAAAATATGGTCCATTTTCTGGGAACTCCAATTTTGAGACTTCTCAAGGATCAATGAGTCCTAATATTGAAAAATGGAGACACATGGATTATGCCAGGAACTTCAATTTTATTTAAAGCAAGCAAAAGATCTGTTATTTGTTCAGTTTTTGAACAACAAGCAAAAAACCATGGACCATTATTTTTAAAAGGCTAGAAGCTTCTTTGGTGTCAGAATGCTCAAACACTTCCTCCATGAATACAAGAGCTGGGATGCATGGATCTCAATGCAGCCTATGGACCTGTTAAGATCCAGAGGTCAGAGAGTCATTTCCTCAAGGCAGAAACATATGTCTTTGAACTACTTACATTCTATGAAATGGAATACCTAAGAAACCATTTAAAATCAAAATTTAAAAAAAGGCCAAAGGTGACTTTCAAATGTTCCAACATTCAGAGAAGTTACTTCATCTTCTTAAAATTTAAAAAAATCAAATGGATCTGAAAAATCCAAGAATACACAGCTAATACAAGCCTGCCAAGTTTTCACTTACATAACATATAACAAATTATTAACTCTGTATGGTTTTGTTTTAATGCAAACTTATGTGTATCTGTGCAAAATTATATGATTTATTAAACCTGTATGTTCTTCTGATTATATACAGGAGAAAGGATTTGCCCTCTTCTGGCAACCTACACTATGAACCACGGCTCTTAAATAGATTGTGGGTTTTTGTGGGGAATTTTTCTAAGAAAACACAGAGAAGTGCTTCATAAACCAAACAAAGTTATATGTCAAATTAGTTTTCTTAATGAACACTGTCTTCTTACTATTATCACGGTGGGACGGAGCCACTGTGTCTTTTGCAGTTTTACAGCCTCCGTACATATTCATTTTTATACTTGAGCTTGAACTACCTTTATTGGTAATATGAAGGCATATAAGGAAGTATGAAAATAAGCACAGTAGTGAAAAATAACCACTGCAGTACAAAGAAACAGCAACAGTTTCAAAGCAGAGGCTGAGAGTTTAATGGTACCATTCAAAACGTCAAAGATGTGAAAATATTCCAAAACTGCTGTGGCATCAAAAAAAAAATAAAAATATTAGGGTGAAAAATGCCCTCTCAAACATTTTTTTCTAATTCCAACCTCCCATTTATAAAATACAGCACCAACAACACTATGCCTAAAGGAACATGAGCTTAGGTAGAAGTAGAAAAGAACATTCACAGTCACTTTGCTTACCAGAAGATAACTGTGAAAATCAGAAGATTCTCTGATACAGAGTTCAGACTTACATACGATGTCTTCCAACATCCTCCTTTTAGGACAAAGTATTTTGAGGAAAACAATCAACTTGGACATAACTGCAGCCCATCATTACTCAAAATACCCTTGTTTACCTTACCATTCTTATCCTAGAGATAGGAAAATGGCAGTGGACTCTCCCTAACTTTGGCAGATTAACCGTGCTACAGCACAGATTTCACCGATGTATGTCACAACTCTACAGAAATCTGTTTTCTCTGACAGTACCTTTAATTTAAACTGTTATTTGGCTTCACTGAGAGAAGTTTAAAATGGTAATCTCTACTGCTATAGAAGCCCAAGGTCTGGTAATTTAAAAAAAAAAAAAAAGAAAACCAAAGTATTACTTTAAATTAAGAGACAGAAATGTAAAAACACCGAAATAACACTGATACGGAGCCTAGCTGTCTAGGCAGTGAGATAATATGCAAACATGGACCAAAAAAATGTAACAAACAAGCAGTAATGAAAGGGTACCAAATTTTTGTTCTAATGTTAACCATTAAGGCTCACCTCATGTGAAGACAGCTAGCAGGTCAAAAAAAGCAGCTGAGCAACTTATATTTTTATGCAGGCACAGAGAGGGAGTGATCTGGAAAGTGAGCTGCTCTCTCTTTCTGGAGCTGATCTCTCCAGATCTCTCCTCTGCTTTTAGTCTATGTAAGCACTTGAGAGACTCATCCAAAACATGCAAACTTTTAAATTTAATCCTAACTGCTGCAACTCCTGAACAAGTCATGTTCCCTGCTGAAGTGGGAGAAACTATTTCAGCTGGATCACTGTGTAACTCCCATTTCTGTGGTGTTAATGAAGAAAGTGAGCATTTCAAGCCATATGCCCATAGACTTTTAACTATAAAGGGAAAAAAAATAAAAAATACAATAACCACCTCACTGAGAATAGAAGAGTCCTATAAAGAGGTAATAATTATAAAAACAGATAAGCACAATTTACCTACTAATGATGCATTACCTCAGGAAAGAAAGCTAAGTTTGCATTCTGTGCGTAATACTATAGAAAAGCACGTAGTATTTAACTACAGCACATGTTAAAATAATGTATATGCAAACCTCAAAGTACTTTTGTCAAATGTAAACAAATAAGGGAAACAAGAACCACACAACCCCTCCCCAACACCCCCCAGTTTCAATCCTCCAAAAATAAGTAAAGGAAAGAAAGAAAGAATTCATATGAAGGACACTACTATATGTTCAGAACTAATTACCTGGACATTCTTTACTAAATTTGTTATGGATTTGAACATCTAAGAACTCCATTTTCTAAAAGCTCCTTTTCTGTAGTGTGATGAAATTTTTGCCAGATGTGTCTGCTAGACTAGATATATTTTACTCTTTTTCCATTTTCACTAACTTAAAATATTGTAGCAGTGGAAAGCATACTGTTATAATACATTGTATACTGAGTATCAGAAATCTGAAAATTACAGTCTATAATTCAGTCTATAGAAACTGACTTTTGCAGAACCTCTTGATAAAGACCTACTCATGATTAGTACAGCACTTTACATGCTATAAAGATAAATTATCAGTTACAAAATTATAATTTGAACTTCAAATTTTTGAATTTTGATTTTATGTTCTGATCACTGTTCTAAATCTAAGGCAAGAATAGAATATGATATCTATGTATACTAAGAAGCTTTGAAGAAGATACATCAGAGACAGCTGTGGGTTTCTGAAACAGGTCTGTTTTCCAAGCCAGTGCAAATTAAACTGAAGAACAGATCACTAAAAACATAGTCACATGTCTCCATTCTGATACAGGAAACAACTCTGAAAGAAAATTGCCTCTCTCTGTTTCAAGTTCTGTTCACTAGTATTGGTAGAACACTTTCAGCTCCTGAGCCAAGAAAATGCAGGTAATTGAACTAGAATCACAGAGCCTTGACAAGGAAAGAAGATGCCTATACAAAAAATTAAAAAACTAAAAAACCACAAATAAATCATAGGGTTTTTTTCCAATCCCAATTATTGCTAGTAGTCAAGACAGAAGAGCTCACCTGCAATAATATATAAATATAATACCTATCAAAGTATCTAAAATGGACCAAATCCAAATACTGTTTAGTTCCCTGTCATTTTCCACATTTAAACCAAGTTTAAAGGGAACAGTAGAACTCTAAATAATTTCATATCACTACCATTTCTCAAATGTTATGCTGATATTGTGATTATATCCTGAAAACGGAATGAATATTTTATAGCAATTATTTTTATTTTGTTCAGAATTTTGGTACTGCAGAACATGAAGTCAGCCACAGTGACAAGCAATTTTATATATAGATATATAATATATATATATATATATACATATTGGTATAAAGATACCAATCTTAATTTTTCACAGGCACAATCTTCAAGGCAACTGTAATTGTGCTTAGGGAAAAAAAGGTTACTTTATTAAACACTTATATAATATTCACATTCTGCAATCAGAAAATACTTAATATAATAATCATAGTACCCAAATGTATGTATGTAGTATGGCAAGAAGTTAGTTAATTTGTGACTATTATAAGCAAATCCAACATAAATTATCATAATTATTCTATTTGATTTTAAACCTAGCATGAATGTTTTTTTATTTGTAATTCTTCTGTAAGTAAACTTTGTTCAGACTTTGATGTTTGTCACAAAGAAGGGCAAAGAATAATGCCTCATTCATCTATTTTATGATTATGTCACAGATGCTTTAGCTTAATAACATTACAGATATGCAACATTTGCACTAAAACAGGACTAGGAGTCTTGCTAACACATGTTGGTTTGCATACTGGACCTCCTATTTGTTTTAGTACTAATCCAATCTCTGTAAAGCCAAGAGAAGTCCCACTAACGACTTTAGTGGCATTAGATTGGTCAAATGGTCCAAGCAAGGTTATTTAATATGCAGTGCCTATTTAGCATAATTTTTCCTGCTTCACTTATTATCGTGTGAACACAAGCCCAGCCAATCAGTTTAACTTTTAAGATTAATAGAATAGCTACTGGGGAGTAGTTTCCACTTGTCAACAGATATATTATAGAAAGTTGGTTGCACTACCTCATTACTCTTGCTTTGTGAAAGAGCCAGGCTATCATTTGTCAATTCCTCATCATCTGCATTATTCCTGTTAAGAACTTTACTCTTCTTCTTCTTGGATCCTCCATCGCTAGCCGTGCTGCTATTATCTTCTTCATTACCTTCCTCATCATTGTCATCCTCATCACTTCCACTCCCATCATCTTCATCATCTTCATTATCTCCATCACTCCCCTCTTTTCTCAGTGCGTTCTTTCCTTTTTTTTTCTCAGCAGTAGGCCGCCAGTCATTGTCATCTTCACTGTCATAGTCATCCATATCATTTAGTTCTTCCATCGATACAAAATCCAGCAGAGGTCGGTTCCTGCGCAAATTCCATTTTTTTGGTTCATTTGTTTGCTCATCAGCAACAGCATCAGGTTCAGCTGCTTTCTCCTTCTCTTTCTTCTTTTTTGGCTTTTCTTCTTCATCTTCTTGCTCTTTCTTTTCAGTTTTAATTACCTCTTTGTCTGCTGTTGGTACTTCTTCTTCAGTGGAGGTTTTCGCCTGTTGCTCTTCTACTTTCTCTTCTGCCGGTTCCTCCTCCAAGATATTTTCTTCTGACTCAGTACAGGAACCTTCACCACTGTCCTTAGATGCATCTTCACTCCCATGACCACTTCCTTCAGAATCTGTTGAGCATATGAAAATTTAAAAAAAGTTCCGACACAAATGTACCCCCAAAAATAAAATTTCTTGAAGCAAGTTGTTAAACAAAAGAATGATGCATGTGTCTCCCTCATAAGGTATTCCACCTATTTTTTTCAGCTGGTGTCCAAATACTGCTATTTCGAGTGCTATGTTGAGAATCTGTTAAACATCAGTGCATTTTAAGATGCCAAAAAAAAAAAAGATGGTAGAACTTATTAAATGAGCATTATATGTTCCTTTGAACTGCAGCTCATATTAACAAAAAGCAGTAGCACAGAGTGATTTCCGTGTGAAGTCACATCTTAAAGAAAGCATTCCAGTTTTTAATTTCTGGAGGTGTTTTCTACATCTTCAAAATAAAATAGCTATCCAATAGAAGAGGTTTGAAATTGCAAAATGAAGAGTTTACATAACTAGTCCTAATAATAATATGGATAATCTCACATCATCATTTTTAACACATCTTTGTTTCTCTGGGTTTGAGGGCTCTTTTAATTTCCAAGGTTAGTTCACCCATTCATCCCACATAAACTATGCCTCTTTCAGCACTGCAGCTGCACTACAATGCATTAACCTTACACCACTCATATGGTCCTGTCCTGTGTGTACTGTTTCATTAAAACATAACTGCCAACACGAGCAACAGAAAAGAACAGAGAAAGATTTTTTACATAAAAAAAGAGACATTCTTACTATAAAGTACAAGTAAAAATATTGAGAAATGACAGGTGAACTTGTTAAACTTTAGAAACAGCATCCATCTTGCTATCTTTCATCCTATATGCACCTACTGCTTTTCATTCATAGTATTATTTTAATGAAGGAAAATTCAGAAAATATTTTTCAAAAAATTTAGAAAAAAAATATAGTTTTTGATCCAATGCAGAGATCAATTAGGCAGTGGCTACAGTTTCCAGTTTGCTCAAAGCCATCACCAAGCTCTGTCATATAGATGCAAGGATGAAACATGTCAATGCTCACAAATTAAAAAAAAAAAAAATCTTAATTGCTTTAGTTACAACCCAAAGATCTCTACCACTCAGTATCACCTCACACTGAGAATTTCTCTGCACACTCAGCTCTGTATAAATCCAAATAAACAGACACTGAGGAAGGTGTGCAGTGTGTCATTTCATGCGGCACTGTTTTCCACCCCAAAGAACATTGCCAATGATTATCCAGTTGTTACTTCAATAAAATGGTCAGTTTTGCCTTCTTCTGCATATGCCTACATGTGGAAGCATCCAGTGAGATTATACGCTGCTGACAAAAAAGCATATACCTTACAGACATGCTACTGTTACTGAGCACGACATCAAAGCTATCCATCCCCTTACAAGCTAATAGAAACTAAAGGTTTCCAACATATATTCTAACATTTAGAGATCCAGAAAAAACGTGAGCTTTCTACAGTCTTTGATAAAAACATAATTCAGTCATTTCTCTACACCTACTTGCCTTAATTGTAGTAATCAAAGTACAAGATAATTAACTGAAGTTTTGAAAGAGTAGAACATGAGTCAGGCATCCACAAGAAATAAAACCAGTATTAACTAACACACAATCCAAAAAATTGTTTTTAAGTTACAATAATTTGTTTGGCTACAGAATCACAGGATGGGTAAGGTTGGAAGGGACCACAGTGGGTCTGCCTAGGATTGCATCCAGACAGTTCTTGAATATCTCCAGTGAGGAAGACTGCACAAAATCTCTGGACAATCTGCCCCAGTGCTCAGTCACCTGCACACTAAAGAACTTTTTCCTCAGATTCAAGTGGAACCTCCTGTTCATCAGTTTCTGCCCATTGCCTCTTGTCCTATTGCACTGAAAAGAGCCTGGTCTATCCTCAACACCCTCCTTTCAGATACTGATAGACATGGATGAGGTCCCCTCTCAGTGGTCTCTTCTTAAGGATAAACAGGCTTAGTTCTCTCATCCTTTCCTTGTTAAGAGACAGTACCTCCACAGAAGGACCACAAAAACGGTGAGAAGGCTACAACACTCCATGAAGACAGACTCAAAGAGGTGGTTCAGCTTGGAGAAAGCTCCAGGGAGAACAGAGCTTATGAGAGATTTTTTACCAAGGCCAGTGGTGACAGAAAACGGGGAACAAGTTTTAAAATGAAAGAGGGTAGGGTTTAGATTGGACACAAGAAACTTTTCAATGAGCATGGCGAGACACTGAACAGGTTGTTCAGGGAACCTGTTGGTGATCCATCACCAAAAATATTCAAGGCTAAGTGGGATGGAGCTTTAAACAATCTGGTCTACTGAAAGAAGTTTCTGACTAAGGCAGCGGTTGACTCAGATTATGTTTAAAGGTTTTTTGATCATGGGTTAGTTTATAGGATATCAGGCCTGTTGGCAACAGACAAGGAACCACAGATACCAAGAGGGGAAAAAGGAGCTTTGCATAGGAGTCAGCAGTGCTCACTCAAAGACTGAACTAGATTTGAAGGAGGAAAATAATAAACCCAGATTCCCTAGAGATATGTCTGGGGGCAGCACAGCATTGTATGGGGGACAACATGCTAGAAAGGTTCTTTGGTCCATCGCTTCAGTGGAGGTAGGGAATGGAGATCCATGCAGCAGTAAAGATACAAGGTTATTATGTGTTAGAAAACATGGACATGACAGCAAATAGTAATGGTAAGACTTAGGGCTTGCTCGCTCAAAAAGTTGGTGAGATCAATAGCCCAGCTGATCAATAGCCCAATGTACACAGCACAGGCAACAAACAGGAGGAGTGGAAAGCCACTGAGCAGCAGTAAAACTACAGCACAGTTGCCACCCATGTAGACATGAGATAACATGGGCAGCAAGTGCTGCACTGGAACAAGGAACAGGCAAAGAAGGAGAGGTGGTAGGGTAGCCCCATATGTTAGGGAGTGTTTTGACTGTCTAGAGTGTAATGACAATACTGTTGTTTAAGGATAAGACTCAGGGCAAAGTCCAACAAGACAAAATTGGTGGGAGTCTATTGAAGACCACCCAACCAGTATGAAGAGGAAAGTGAAATAGTCTATGAGCAGCTGGGAGAGGTCTCACAACCACTAGCCCTCTTCTCAGAGTGGACTTCAATTTACCAGATGTCTGCTGAAAACACAATACAGCAGAGCAGAACTGGTCCAGAATGCTCCTGGAGCGTGTGAAAGGTGCCTGACAGAGACAATGAGGGAAACTACTAGCAAAGACACCCCACAGGACTTGCTATTTGTGATCAGAGAAGGAGTTGCAGGTCGTGTGATGACTGGAGGATGTTTTGGACAGAACAAACTTGAAATGGCAATTTTCAGTTCTCAGAGAAGCAAGCAAGGGGGTCAGCAGAACTTCTATCCTGGACTGTTGAGAGGCTTGGTTGGCAGAGTCTCTTGGGAGGTAGTCCAGGAAGGCTGGACATTCTTCAAGGAAATCTTAGAAGCACAGGAGCAGGCCACTGCTATGTGCTGAAAGACAAGCCAGCAGTGAGAAAGACTAATGTGCCTGAACAGACAGCTGAGAGCTTTGACTGGAACTCAGAAGAACGAAGGGAATTTAAGGCTTATGGAAGAAGGGGCAGACAACTCAAGAGGACTACAGGGACAACATGAGGGAGAAACTTTTTTTGCAGGGAGAAAATTATAAGGGCCAAAGACCAACTAGAACTTAGAATCTGACTACTGCCATGAAAGATAATAAATACATAATCAACAAAACGAAGGCTAAAGACAATCTCCCCCCTTTACTGAATGAGGAAGGAAACAGAGCCAAAGGATGAGGAAAAGGCCAAGGTACATAATGCCTTCCTTGCCTCAGTCTTTAACAGCAAGATCCATTGTTCTCTGGGTATCCAATCCTCCTAAACTAGAAGGCAGACACGGGGAGCACAATGAAGCACCCAAAGTCCAAGGATAAATGGTCAGTGATCTGCTGTGTATCTCAGACACACAGAGGTCTGTGGGCCCAAATGAGCCACATTCAATCATTTACCAGCAATTCTGGCTAACCAGGGAGGTCCCAGATGATTAGAAATTTTAAAAAATGTGATACCCATCTGCAAGGGTCAGAAGGAGTATCCAGGGAACTGCAGTCAGTCCTGCCAGCCAACCCTGGAAGGCCCTGGAGCAGATCATCTGGAATGCCATCAAGATGATGGCGCACTACATACTGGGGTCAGAAGGGCTGGAAAGCTGACCAGGGGAAAAGGGTGGGGGGTGCTGGTTGACATTTGGCTTAACAACACCCACTATCTGCCCAAGTGGCCAAGAAGGCCAATGGCATCCTGGAGTGTACCAGCAATAGTGTGGCCAGCTGGACCAGGGCAGTGACTGTCCCCCGGTACTCAGCACTGGTGAGGCCACACCTCAAATCCTGTGTCCAATTCTGAGCTCCTCACTTCAAGAAAGACACTGGAGTGTGTCCACAGAAGTGCAATGGAGCTGGTGAAAGGTCTGGAGCAGAAGTCTGAAGAAAAGGAGGCTTAGGAAAGACCTTATCACTACAACTGCATAAAAGGAGGGTGTAGCAAGGGGTGGCTCAGTCTCTCTCTCCTCCCATGTAACAAGTGTTCCGACAAGATGAAACAGCTTAGAGTTGCAACAGGGGGGGATTAGGTAGGGCATTAGGAAAAACTTGACAGAAAAGGTTTCTCCTCAGGGAAGTAGTTGAGTCACCACCCCTGGAGATATCTAAAAGATATGTCGATGTGGCACTTAGGAGCATGACTTAGTGGTGGGCTTAGCAGCGCTAGGGTAACAGTTGGACTCTACCTTAAAAGGTCTTCTCCAGACTACACAAATCTAAAATTCTGTGATACTTCCCAGTTCTCATAAACATCTTACAAGTAATTCCTAAAGCTATACTCTCATACAAGACACATCACAGATTAAATGCCATATGTATGCTCAAAGCAAAATGTATTTTGTATCTCATTTCACAGGTGCCAAGTGCCTGTGTGCACTATTTGTCTTACTGTAAATAAGGTAATACAAGACTTTGCCAC